ACAAGGGAATAAAATCAAGAAACCCTACAAAGCAAGCTATGTGTCTGAGTAACGCACAAAACAATAGAAGAGATTGCTCTGTGAAGTCAGAAAACATTTCCTAATAATAGCCTTATTCTAAAAGTTCAGGAAAGTAAATTTTACCCAAAATTGAGCAACAGAAACTATCATGGTCAAATACCATAGTTATTACAAGAAAAAAAGTAAATATGGAGAGAAATTACTCTACAGACAATGAAAGCATGCCAGAAAAATATGCCCACAAAACACCTAAAATATGTAGCTTACACAAAGGTATGAAGAGAGCCAGAAACAGTGAAGATGTGGGTAAATAGTAAAGATTTTTCTTTTAAAAATTCCTTTAAAAGATCATTGATTGCATGATATGAAAATAATAAAAATGTACTGTGGAGTTTCTAACATGTAGAAGTACAATGCATGATAATAAGAGCACAAAAGATGAAAGAAGGAAATGGGTGGACTAGTGTAGTCAGCTTACGTTGGCTTGTGAACGGTGAGAATTCCCAACTCTGAATTCTCTGACATCACCTTGGTAGCTCGAAATCATCCATGGAGAGAGTATTTACTCCATGAAACTGTCATGTGATACAAAGCAGGGCCTTTTTTTTTTTTTAAATATCTGATTGTTATTTGCACACCACTAGGGAAGTAGAACTGTACTATTATAGGATCTTACAGTATACACAAAGTGATATAGCATTATTTGACTGTAGTATTAAGTTAAATGTGTATATTACAAATCTTGGAGAAGACATTAAAAAATAAAAGACTAGCCCTGGCCCGTTTGGCTTAGCGGTTGGAGCGTCGGCCTGAGGTCGGGAGAGACCCGGGTAGGGTTCCCGCTAAGGGCACATATCTCGGTTGCAGTTTGTTCCTGGCCCTGGTTGGGTCATGCGGGTGGCAGCCACTCGATGTGTTCTTTTCACGCCGGTATTTCTCTCTCTCTCTCTCCCTCCTACTCTATCCTTGGGTGAGGATAATAAATAAATAAAATTAAAAAAAATAAAAGAATAGCTAATAAGCCAATAGAGAAGATAAAATGGAATACTAAAAAGTAATTAATTTAATATAGGCATACCTCGCTTTATTGTGCTTCGCTTTATTGTACTTCATAAATGTTGCATTTTTTACAAATTGAAGGCAAGACAGACCCTCCACCAGCAAAAAGCTTATAACTTGCTTTATTATAGTACTCATTCTATTGCAGTGGTCTGGAAGCAAACCCACAATATCTCTGACGTATGCCTGTAGAAGGCAAAAAAGCAGAAGCAAACGACAAAACACAGTTGAGACAGATAGAAAATAAATATCAATACTTGCATTATATAAAAATGAACTAAACACATCATTTAAAAGGGTAGAAATGGTCACATTCAGTGAAAAAAAGAAATACTCAACCATATGGTCTTCATAAGAAATCTGCCTTAATATAAAGAAACAGATGAATTAAAAGTAAAAGAATAAAAATACACCAAATGCACACTAGTCAAAAATAAAAAAGGTGGAGTGATCATATTAATATCCAATAAAGTAGACTTAAGGACAAGAAGTATTACCTAGTACAGAGACAACTAGGGACATTTCATAATGACAAAGGAGTCAGTTCATCAAGGAAGCCTAACATCCTAAGTGATACAGCACCTAACAGAATCTCAAAATATATAAAACAAAATCTGATAGAACTGGATGGAGAAATAAGAAAACCTATACTTAATTTGGAAATTTCAATCATCTCCTCTCAGTAATTAAATGCAAAAGAAAAAAGAAAAAAGAAAATAATTCAAGACAAAGGATTTTAACAATAACATTAACCAACTTGACCTAATTGCTATTTATAGAGCTATACTATATACTACAAAACTATACATTATAGAACTATACCCAACAATTACAGAATACATATTTTTTTCAAGCATACATGGAACATCCACCAAGATGGACTAACTGCTGGTCAAAATAAATAAATTTAAGAGGATTGAAGTAATACAGAATATATATTCTGACTACAAAGGAATTACAATAGAAATCAATTAAAAAGCCTATCTGAAAAATAGCCAATTCTTTGAAAATTAGAAATAACATTCAAATAATAAATAGATCAAAGAAGAACTCTTTGGAATGAATGAAAATATAAACATTTCAAAATTTGTGGAATGCTACTAAAGTGGTATTTAGAAGGAAATTGTAATTTAAAATATCTATATTAGAAAATAGGAATGTTCTGCCCTGGCTGGTTAGCTCAGTTGGTTAAAGCATCATCTTGATACAACAAGGTTTCAGGTGGTATTCCCTGTGAGGGCACATACAAGGATCAACCAATGAATGCATAAATAAGTGGAACAACAGGTCTATGTTTCTCTCTCTCTCTCCCTTCCTCTCGCTCTAAAAATCAAGCAATTAAAAAATGTTTTTAAGAAAACAAGAATGTTCTAAATAATGGATCTAATCTTAAGAATCCAAGAAAAAAAGTAAATGAAAAGTAGAAGAAAGGAAGTAAGTCTAAGAACAGAATATGAAATAGAAAATAGACAAACAATAGTGAAAATTTATAAAACCAAAAATTTGGTTTTTGAAAAGTTCAACTAGACTGGTCAAGAAAAAAAGAAGAGAGAAAATACAAATTACCAGTATAGAAAATAGAAGAGATATCACTATGTTCCTATAAATATTAAAAGAATAATAAGGGACTATTTTGAACAGCTATGTGGCAAAAAATAGACAATTTAGATGAAATGGACAAATTGCTTGGAAAATAAAAATTTTTCAGCTCTAGATTTTCACTTGTTCTTTGTTAAACCTTACATTTTCTTTGTTATGATCATGTTTTCATTTAAATCCTTTGCATACGTAAACAGTTGTTAAACTTTTATTTTAAAAAATATATTTTTATGTATTTTTAGGGATAGAGAAACATTGATGTGAGAGCAAAACATTGATCAATTGCCTCCTGCATGTCCCACACTGGGGATTGAGCCCGAAACCCTGGCATGTGACCTGACCAGGAATTGAACCTGCAATTTTGTGGTATACAGGACAACATCCAATTGAGCCACACTGGCCAGGGCAGTTGTTAAACTTTTTAAAGTTCATTGTCTGTATACAATCATCTCTGTGGTTTCTAGGTGTGTTTCTATTGGTTGATTTTTCTCCTGATTCTGGGTCACATTTTGTGCTTCTTTGCATATCTGGTAATTTTTGTGTTTGATGCTGGCCATTATATATACTACAGTGTTGAATATTTTGATATTGTGGTCTCCCTTTAATGAGTATTGAGGTTTATTTTAGAAGGCAGTTAAGTTACTTGTAGATTGTAGATTGGCTTGATCCTACCAAGGCTAGTTTCACTTTCTGCAAGGGCAATTATAGAACAGCCCTTAATCTACAGCAATTTTATACCCACATCCAAAGCATGATCATCAGTGAAATCCTTAGGTTTTCGATGAGGTCTCTTCATTCTGGTTGGTAGGGATATGAGTGATTCCTGGCCCTATATAAGCCCTGAGAATTGTTCAGCATATAGATCTCTTACAAATTATTCTTTGCCCAGCCTGATGGACTTCAGTTCCATTTATATACATGGAGATTAGTATTTCACCAAAGACTCAAGGAAACTCTTATCAGATTTCTTCTGTATACAAAGTTCAGTCGCTGTGGCTTCCCCAATCTCTGTTTCCTCAACTCAATGTGGTGGGCTTTCTTGGGTTCCCCCTCTCTGTGCTGTGATCTGGAAATTTCCTCTAAGCAAAAAGTAGGGTCAACATTCTACTCACCTCTTTTCCTTCCCTTCTTCCAGGGATCATAGTCCTGTGCTGTCATTGTCCAATGTTTGAAAATAGTTGTTTTGTATATTGTGTCCTGTGCTGGTTACTCTTTCACAGCCAGAAGCCTACGCTCACAAAGCCAACGTTTAACAGTATGTGACTTAGATCCCATTCAACAACATTCACTGAGGCACTACCATAAGCTGGAATCATGGTAATGATAGATATTGCAAAATCTCTGATAAGAAACTGACTAAAAAGAAATGAGTATAAATCACATTTTCAGGAAGTTGACCATAAAGGAGTAGTAGGATTGGCCTGGCTGGTGTGGCTCAGTGGACTGAGTGTTGTCCCATACACTGAGAGGTCCCAGTTCGATTCCCAGTCAGGGCACATTCCCAGGTTTGGGGCTCCATCCCCAGTGGGGGCACGAGGCAGCCAGTTGATATTTCTCTCTCACATCAATGTTTCTATCTCTCTCTAAAAAATCAATAAAAACATTTTTTTTAAAGTAGTAGGATTGAATTCTTGCAGTCCTTTTAATATTTTCCAATTAATTTCAATCAGGAGTTTGATTTCACTTGACACTATAAAATTTAAAATGTTAAAATACATTAAAAATAAACTCATTGCTTATCCTTTATTTTTATTATGTAAGTTCTTGATACTGTACACACTGACCTTTTTTGCACATTTATAATCACCACTCAGACTCCCTTCAGACAGATTTATTGCATAAATTCTATTTAAGTGACTTGACTCTTGGGTGGAATAATCAAAGAATACGGAGAGAAGTTGAGCTTTAAAAAAAGGTGCAATTGGCCCTGGCCGGTTTGGCTCAGCGGTTAGAGCGTCGGCCTGCGGTACAGAGAGACCCGGGTTCGGTTCCCGCTAAGGGCATGTACCTCGGTTGCAGTTTGTCCCCGGCCCTGGTTGGTCATGCGGGTGGCAGCTACTCGATGTGTCCCTTCACATCGATGTTTCTCTCTCTCTCTCTTCCTCTCTCTCCCTCCCGCTCTATCTGAACAAAAAACGGAAAAGTGTCCTCGGGTGAGGATAAAAAAAAAAAAAAAGGTGCAATTGAATAGATATTTAATTCAGAAGCACAATTCTAGTACAAAGAAATAATTTTCTCCCCCCAAAAAATGTGAGAACGTTTAAGAGATTTTTCTGAGAAGACGGTAATTTTTATTCATTTTAATTTTTGCATCAGGTATAGCACACAATTATAAAGATAACTGATGTTAACACAGACCCACATGCAGACAAGTGAGAATGTGGCCCCATCATATTTCCAGGCTCTGAGCATCTCTGCAGCTGCCCACTTGGATCAGTTTTCAACTTCCATGGAATGTGCAGGCGTCGAGAAGTCCTGTGAAGCACACATAAGAGAAAGCCTTCAGGTACTGCCTGTGCTCACTCAACACAATTCTGTTTCTATTTTCTAAGAGTAAGTAGTAGGTAATAAAGTTTTTTTTTTAAACCCTGTCTCTTCCCTCAGTAATGTCAGTGCTATCCTTAAAAACCTACATTGTCCTTTCCCTCTTCTCTTATTATCTACAACACATGAACGAATTCAACAAAAATTCAGGCACACTCTCAACAATTTGATTATCCAAGCTCTAATTTTATTTCTTCAACTTGCTTCTTTTTGAGGCAGCTATGCCATTCTAGCTAGAAAGGACCTACTATCGTATTAACTATACTTTATTCATTTCTATTAATATTTTTTTTACATTTTACTTTAAATCTCTGAAAATCTGTCCTCTGAGTGGTATACACATCATTTCCCAACCTTCTCCCTACATTTGATGTACTCACATACATACATTTTTTATTTTTTTAGCAAAAAAAATTTGAAATGCATATGTAAACAAGTTCAGTTTCCAAATTATCTCAAGTTCCTTTGCACACTCTGTCTCCTTCCAATGATTTGGCCTTTTTTCAGCCAGTGTCTTCTACTGTTGTCTAATTGTCACACCATGGGTGAGTCTGAATCCTCCTGCAGGGCCAGGAGCAAGCCCTCTGAATCTTTGTGTTCGTTCTTATTAGTACTTGACCAGGGCTTAGCATGTGATAGTCCTTAGTACAGACATGTCTATCTGACCCCCATGCTACTGCTCCTCAGTGTTTTATTCTACTCACCAGAGGGTAAGCATCTTCTCACGTTAGCAATAGCCGCAAGATACTCTGGCCCTAAGTATTTCTGATAAGTTGTTTTGTCCTGAAGGTTAGCCAAACATTCCGTGTTATCACTGAAGAGCAGGTCCTTGGTTGAGGATTTGAACAACTGGAACATCATATATTCAAACCCATTTCTTCCATAGAGCTCCTGGGTCAGACAGACAGAGAGTAAATGCCTGGCAGTGCTAGGGAGCACAGGGTTGTGTATTCTGCTTCAAAAGACTGGAGTCTGCTGCTGGACTGCTTAGCTCCTGCCCCTAGGAAACCTGGAACACAGCAACAATTTTGGAGGCACCATAGTAAAATGGCAAAAAGCCTGACCTCTGGATTCAATCCTGGTCCTAGTGTTTCCTTGTCATGTGACTTTAGGAAAATTTTTTACTGAGCTTATTGAATCTCAGTTAACTTATCTGTAAATGGAGATAACAGAAATAGTGAGATGATGTATGTTAAGCAAGTGCTAAATAGAAAGAACTCTAAGTTTGTCCCTGTATCACTATTCTGCCAATCGTTGCCAGGTATTTTCAACCTTCTGGGTCATACTTGTACGTCTTCCTGCTTCCCGGAGCCCTTGCCACCTTGCCTCTTCTATTCTCTAGATCTGCCCCAAGTACCCAACCATTCCCATGTCTTCCTTCTCCTCCCCTCTCTTCCTTTGTCCACTTTCCTTACAACCAGGTGGCAGCTCGCCCTGTATGGGACCCATCCCTTCAAAAGTCTGTGACCAAGAGCTCTCCCCAGGTTGTCCTTTAACTGGGAAGTGTGTGCAACATGAGCTAAAACATGGATTACTTATTGGAGCACCTCTAAGAATGGAGTGTGCTAGTGCAGAAGGCAGACGAGGCTCTGGGTTTTCCCTAAGATCATCTGATTGATGCAGCCCACTGCTCCAGAGGATCAGCCCTTGCTGGCTGCCTACAGAGGTCATAAATTGTCTGAATGTTGGCTTTATAACTTTCGTGAAGCCTAAAACCATGTTCAGTTTGCCAGGTTCAGGAAACACATTGGGATCCACCTAGGTGTGAAGGGCACTGAGGTAACCCCTTTATTTCTGTCTCAGAACAGGCCCAAGAGGTACCATGACTCTGCTCAGGAAATGGAGGGAGCCCACACGGTCTGAGGCTTTTTCAGGTCCACACTGATATCCTAGATGGCCCAGAGCAAGAAGTGAACACAGCCCCAGCCCTCCACTTCCATCAGAGGAAGGGCTGCAAGAGTCAAGTTCCCCTGACCAGGGAGAGACAGTGAGACTGGGCTCGGGTGTGTCTGTGCAGGTCTGAAGTGAACTGATGTGCAGTTGCCCATACCTGTTGGTTGAAGAGCATCCTGCGAACAAAGTTTGCCTTATCTTCCCTTGAGACCACAGCATGATTTGGGACTCTGGCTAGGTGGCAGTTCTGAGCCTCGGTCACAGGCTTTCTGGTATCATCAAGGCACAGCAGCTCAAAGTCTTTCTGCTTCAGATCTTTAGCCCAGTCTTCAGGGTTTTTTCCTAGGGAGAGAGAAGCCAGGACAACTGATGGCTTTCACTGAGGTGCCCTCACTGGTAAAGATGTGACCAACCACCAGTGTCTGGAAGAATCACAGAGACACAGAGAAACAAAATAATAAAGCTTTTTAAATAAAAAGAAAGAGAAACATTCATAAACTCATAAATTCATAACCTTTCTGGTTAGTGTTTTTTTCAGTCCTGTTAAAGACAAAGATTTCTCGGGGCAGGAAGAGATTAACCAAAGAATTTATATGCGTATACGCATAACCCATGGACGCAGACAATAGAGCAGTGAAGGCCTGGGGTGGGGAGCCAGGTGGAGGGGAGCAATGGGAGAAAGTGGGGGACATCTGTAACACTCCCAACAATAAAGATAAATTTTTAAAAAGACAAAGATTTCTTAAACAAGCATGAAAAAGCATTAGCCAGAAAGGAAAAGATTGATACATTGAACTATATTAAAATAAAGAATGCCTGTTCGCCAAAAGACATCATTAAGAAAGTAAAGCCCGGACGGTGTGGCTCAGTGGCTGAGCATTGACCCAGGCATCAAGAGGTCACCAGTTCGACTCTTGGTCAGGGCACACACCCTGGTTGTGGGCCAAATCCCCAGGGTGGGGGGCATGCAGCACCCCCCCACCCCACCCCCCATCGAGGGGTGGCCAATCAATGTTCTCTCTCAACGATGTTTCTATATGTCTTTCCCTTTCCCTTCCTCTGTCTTTAAAATTAATGAAGAAAAAAATTTTTTAAAGTAAAAAGACAAGATTTTTCAGAGATAGACATTATATTTTCAATACATATAACTGTCAAAAATGTGTATCCAGAATATATCAAGAATGCCTATAAATCAAGAGAGTCAGGCATGCTTAGACAGACTGTGTCCTCCGTGTGTTTGTCAGTTAGGTTCAAGACGATTGTGATAACCAAGCCTGTCAAGTCTAACTGGACAGGAAGAATTTTCTCATTCCCTAAATAAAAAAAGTGTTAGGGCTGGTGTGGCTCAGTGGATTGAGCGTCGTCCCATGGACTGAAAGGTCCTGGTTTGATTCCCAGTCAGGGCACATGCCCAGTTTCGGGCTTGATCCCCAGTAGAGGATATGCAGGAGGCAGCCAATCGATGTCTCTCTCTCCCTTCCTCTCTCTCCCTATAAAATCAATAAAAACGTATTTAAAAAAAAAAATGTTAGGGCCAAAGTCACTAGAGCCTAATAGACTTACTAAACATTCTTGATTGCCCAACTGGGGAGTGATTTCCCATGAAGAGACTCAGATTTTTCCGAGGGAGGAAAGGACAGAGCAGGCACGTACCGTCTGTGTTCTGCAGGACTGTGGGGTGCTCCACAAAGGCCACGTCTCCCTTCTCAACTAGACACCTGCACACCGAGAGTCAGGTCAGGAAGGAGAATCCACAGGAGTGGGAAGGAGAGACACGGAGAGGCAATCACTGAGGTTCACACCCCTCCCCCGGGCTACTTTGCGCATCTAACACTGACCACTTCCACACACACAACTGTAATGCCTGGCTGTCCCTTGGAATTAGAGGAGAAATGTAATAATACTTTTTTAAAAACAGAAATCTGCTTATTTCGTTTGTGTTGTTCCTTATTTTAAATGCTGATCAGTTTCTCCAGAGGAGATGCTCGTATTCTCCTATTAACAGAGATAGTCAAGGATGACTGCTTGGCTCAAAACTCACATCAGACATTAAAATCAGCAAGGGAGACATGATTTTGAGGGAGTATTACCACAGCCATATGTCTACTCAGCCTTAATAAAAGTCAATGCACATCACTAGATATTTATTCACACTTCATCCCCTGAAAATTGTCTTTGGTTAAGGTGCATTCTTTTTGAGAAATATTTACATTAAAATTGGTTTTATGACATTGTCTGTTGTAAATTGATATTAATGATCAGAGCACCTCTCCAATTTTCTCTCTCCTAACATCAGGTCTCTCTATACTTAGCTAGGATTCTTTACTCCCATTCAATTTTCCTAAGCTCCCTTGCCCTGTTTCTTTCCTTTAGCCCCCCTTCACCCAACCCCAGTCCTGAATGAGCATGATCATCTGCCTCGTGTGTGTCCGCGCCTCAGCAGTGAGGTAGACCAGAGAAGTTCCCGATGATTAACCTCACTTGGGCATTCCTGTCCTCCTTTCTCCACTCTAGACCTGTGGTTCTCAAAGCCTGAAGCGGGACCAGCAGCAGAGGTGCCAACTGGAAACTTAGAAATGCACATTCTCAACCCCCCTCCCATCCGCCCTGACCTACTGGATCAGAAACTTATGGGGGTGGGGCCCCGTCATCTGTTTTCACAATCCCTCCAGGAAATTCTCATTTTTGTTCGAGTGTGATAACTAGTGCTCAAGACAGTCACCTCCCCACTCTAGAGCAATAGTTTCAAAAACGTTTTCCCACTTCCTGAAAACCTCTGACTCTCCTCATACCCCTCCCAACACTCATACTGTGACAGGTGCTCCTGCTTCCCAGAGAAGCAGAGAAATCATTGCTGGGCTTGCTTTCAGCATCCTTCTGCCCAATGGACCACCCAAGTCTCCAGTGCTCTCCTGCCCTCCAGGTCTCCCAACCAGCAAAAGTGCCCTCCCCAGGTGCTCTACATCTCATCCCACCCACACTCTCGGGCACATTCTGCTACGATTACCCTCTTCCTCTTGTATAACTGGAGCCTTTCCCTGTCCACTGAGCTCTTTTCATCAGCATTCATACTTCTTTTCTCTTTTAAATAACAATAAGCCCTGCCTTGATGCCACACAGCCCTCAGCAATGATTCTCTCTCCCCGACTCCTCCAAGCACCTACGAGGAATCATCACTCTTACCATCAGCATCCCTTCACCCCACCCTCACTGACCCTTGCCCATCAGCTTAGGGGACTGACTGACTCACTGTTGAATCTGCCATCACCAGATCCAGGGGCCAGTTTGCCATACTCATTTTATTTGATCTCCCAAGTTCATCCTTTCCTCAGTGATCTTTATTATGGACCAAGTATAATATGTTCATGTATCTGTCTTGTTAGTCTATTCTCTTCTATTGATTTACTTGCACATAAATCAACCTGTATGAACCACAGTATTATAGTATTGTAAACTATTATGTGATTTTTAATAGTCACAAAACAAAATCCCTTTGTACAGTTTTATTTAAAAATTCTTAGCTCTTGTTTGGTCTACCAAACTTTAATACTTTTTTGACACCTGACTCCCTCCACACTCAATCCACCCAGTGACAGTGGAGGCAGCTAGAACTTCACAGCACCTGAGCTGTGTGAGCAGGAAGCTTTCGCCTGAACTGGGCTGACAATCCCATCTCCTGGGAATTGGGACTAATATATTATGGTCTGTGTTTGCTTCCTTATAACTAAGAAGCTGCAACAACCCTGGGGCTGCTGGCCACAGGCATTTCCCTCCATGTAGACTGAGAAACAGAAAATCTCCCTGCAGGGCAGAAAGAGAGAGAGAGACAAGAGAAGCAGACTGGGTCCCCTTCTACTAAAAATGCATTCGCTGTTTATCCGGAGTTCTCCTTTAAACGGGACATTCTGAATTTTATCTAGCAACCCTCACTTTAAATTATCTCGGCTGGCTCTTGAGACTCAGGTCTCAGACCTTACCAGGAGGAAGCCCACCCCAAAGCACCTGTTAAAACATCCCCTTTGGCTTAAGATGGTACACATGGGTTTTGGCACTCACAACAAAAGGAGTCCTTATATATTTTATTAAAGAAAAAATACATTAAAGAAGATAAGTAAATAAAACATATTATTAGAGAGTTTTAAGTGCTAAAAAAAAACCCCATAAAACAATAAAGTGGGATATAAAATATGAGTGTGTGTGTGTGTGTGTGTGTGTGTGTGTGTGAAATTATAGATAGAGTGGCCAGGAAAGACTTACCTGAGAAACCCTAGAGGAAATGAGGGAATTAGCCATGATGACATGAGGAGGAATAGCACTCTAGATGGGGGTAAGAGCAAGTGTGAAGGCCCTGAGGCAGGAGTGTGCCTGATGTCTTCACAGAACAGCTGGGGTGCACACATGGCTGGAGCAGAGTTAGCAAGGGGGAAGATTACAAAGAGGCCTTATAGGTCAAAGAAAAACCCTCACTGTTATTCTGAGTGATGTGGGAAATTACTGAAGGGCTTTAAGCAGAGAAGTGTAATACTCTGTTTTATGTTTTAACAACATCACTCATCACTCTTGCTGGTGCGTTGAGAATAGACTGTGGTGGGGGAGGAGGATGGGACAGATGCATAGAGGCCTATTAGGGGGGTATTATAACAATGTGGTTTGGATCAAGGTGGTATCAGTGAAGATGGATGGTGCAGTAAATTTTAAATAACTGGTAAAGCCTACATGATTTGATGATGAACCAGATATGGGGTCTGAGAGAAAGAAACTAGACATAGGTAACACACACCGAGGTTTTGACTTTTTTTTCCAAAAGGAAAAAAAAAATGGAGTTGCCTTTAACTGAGATGAGAAACACTATAAGAGATACTGGCTTGGGTGGGAGTGTGTGAAATTTCAGAAGGTCAGTTTGGGACATTTAAATTTGAGGAGGTGATTAGAAATCCCAGCAGGCAGTTGGATAGAAGTCTGGAGTTTCATCTAGAGTTTTGAAGAGACAGCTGAACAGGAACGTAAATTTGGGAATTGTCAGCATATAGATGGATGGAGAAGAGATAACCATGAAGACAGAAGTCCAAGGACAGAGCCCTGGGGTGCACCACCATGTAGAGGTTGGGGAAGTGAGGTAGAATCAGCAAGAGGCTGAGATGCAGTAACAGGAGAAGGAGGAGGAAATCCAAGGGCGTGTGATGTCCTAAAGCCAAGGAAGAAACTGTATCCAAGAGGAGGAAGTGATCGGTGGTGCCAGTGATGCTGATAGATCAAGTACTGCAAGGACTGAGAACTGGTCTTTGGATGTATTTAGCAACATAGAGGTCTGGTGATTTACAAGTGCAGTTTCAGCTGCATGGTGGTGGTGGTGCACCAAGAGGGAGGTGTGGGGGGAGCAGCCTGCCCGTGTGCCAACAATGAGGAGGACTGTTTTCTTTAGATAATTTAAAAACAATAATAAAGCCAATTCTATTGATTGGGGTTGGAAGAGGTAGACAGATTCGTAAACTGGGTTCTGGGGCAATTGGAAGAAGAGAAATTGGAGTGAGCAAGGATGCTGAACTTCTCTAAGGAACTGCATTGTGAAGAGAGAGAAATGGGAAGCTGCTGGAGAGGAAAGTAAGATCAAGAGAGATTTTACTTGTGTATTTATGTTTAAGATGAAAAAAATAGCAACATGTTTATAGGCTGATGGAAATGATCTAGTGGAGCAGAAAATGTGATGACGCAGGAGAAGGAGGGGAAACATGCTGGGGCCACATCCCAGAAGAGGCTGGAGGAGAGGCAACTGATGCTGCAACAGGACTGGGCTTTGAGAGGAGACAGCTTGGTCATCCCGAATAAGAGGAGCGAGGGCAGCGTCTATGGGCACAGACACATGGGTAGATGTGGCACTGGGGACAGGGTGGACTTTCTCTTTTGATTGCTTCAGTTTCCTCAGGTGAAATAGAAAACAAAGGTCTGATAGATGGAGGAGGAAGTGTGGGAGGATTGAAGAGAGGAAAAAGCATGGAATCATCTTTGAGGAGGGCAGGTGGTGAATGGACTTAGAGGCATATGGCTTATTTAAGGTGAGTTCTCATTACTTGAAAGGGAGACCAGTCAGCCTGGAAGTGCAGGCACCGAGCAGTTTTCTTGGACCTAACCAAGGTTGTGGTTCAGCCAGGAGAGAAGACAGACATTTGAGGATATGTGCAGGGGAATAATTATCATGGTTGCCTGTGGAATGCATGCTGGGTACAGAGGGGAAAGGACATGAAGAGGGGTGAGAACAGGGAAGGGTGCATAGAATCAATGGATCACAGGTCAGTAGGAATGAAGGACTGTCGAAGTCGGGGAACTAGGGAACAAAGAGGCAGGTAGGACGTGGTGGGGAGAATGAGGTGTTTGAAGCTAAGATTGCTCTTTGTGTGTTCATCTTCATTTTGAAAAGAGGGGAGGTCATGGTTCAAGAAAGAACTCAGTTCTAGGTCCTCTGATATATTGTACCAAAATGGGACTATCAACCCTGATACCAGTGCACCTTCCCACGTGAAGAAAAATTAAACTACTTTAGCCTATACATTCAGCATGTATCGTTGTAGTGGGATCTGTGAAAATATACAATTTATGTAAGGCTTAGGAGACAGACAAACTTTGGAGAGGGCAGAACAAGGTAGTCTGGCAGGGTGACACATAAAAGTGTCCTTTCTAGACATTCGCACATTCTCCACACAACAGCCACACAACCCTAATTCACACAGCACAGCCTATTGCCTCAAGGGGTCCCACACTGCCCAACATACTTAGAGTCAAATCTACCTTCTTAGCCAGGACAACAGGGCACCAAGACAGCCAACACCTGCAGCTCCAGCCCCCTCAACTGCCTGATCCCCTTTTCCATGCTCTACTTAGGGCCTTCTTACAGGACGACTTGTCCCACTCCATGCCTTTCTCCTTGCCATCCCTTCTTCCTGGATTACTCTTCCTTTGGATTTTCTCAGGCCAGATGCCCTCTCAGTATTTAGTCCTCAGTTCACATAGTCCCTCTGCTTCTCTGACCACCATTTCAAACTGTCCCCTACACGTGTCACTGCGGCATCACCCACCTTGGTTCCTCTGTAGCACTTACCAGTCACAGGTGATTGTCCTTTATTTATGTGTTTATTGTCCTGCTTGGGGTGTGTGTCTTGTTGTGTGATAACCCTCTACCTAGAATAGTGCCTGCCCCATACTAGGTGCTCAATGAATACTTCTTAAATGGATAATGGAGCCCAAGAATATCTATTTTTAAAATGTACTCATCAGCCAGGTGTAAGAAGCCCAAGCCGGGTACCCCTCCTTTGCTTTTAAACTGGGGCTCTGAAGGATTCCATGACATGTCCACAATCACACAGAAGAAAGGAGCAAACGGGGGTTGTGACTCTGCACCATCATCCTGCCTCTCCCAGGCGCCTTAGGTCAGCTGGTCTGCAGGAGAGTGTTCCAGAAGGGGCTGACCATGCGCCCTTGGGGCCACTGGGAACTTACAGTTCTAGTTCCCAGTCCTGGCTGCTAGAATGCAGCACCCAGATGCTGGGATGATGAAAAGGGTGAAAAGACAAGAAGTTCAGGGGGTTGGTGCCAAAGAGAAAGGTGCAGAGGCTACTCGCCTGAGTGCCCCACTGGAGCCGAAGTATTTCTCGTGGCTGTTGGGAGCGCACGTGTGGGCTGGATCGCTGCCGCCGCCGCACAGAGCACAGAGGCTGGATTCTGGACCAGACCCAGGGGCACAGCTTTGACTGAAGAATTCATCTGTGCGGGAGGAAACAGGTCAGCTCTTCCTGCCTGTGTTGGCAAGAAAGCCTCAGATTTTTGTCCCCAGAAATGCCTGAATGATGTAAAGACATATTCAGGTATTTGGTACCATATTATTCAAAATAGGAACCTTGTGAAATGTTTAAAAAGTTGCAGCTGGAGTGAAGTAATGGGTGACTAGCTGAAGTGAAGTAATGGGTGACTAGCTGAAGTTGGGACAAAGGTCTGTGGGCTCACAAAAGTCCACCCTGTCCTGGCCCAGGAAGAGCAAACGCAGATTTAATCCTAAGTGTGGACAAAATTGGAAGACCTGGCTGGTTGAACCTGTCCTACCGACCTCTGCTGCCCTGCCCTTCTTTACAGGGTCTGCCATCATGACTCCAAGTCCAAGAAGGGCCTGAGAGGCCCAGCCATCCAGCCCTGTGCTGGGCTCCAGGGCACCACAGTGAGGACCTATCCTCCTGGAACCCAAGTCTGTGGGGCAACAGTCATAACTAAAATGATCACACAGTGAATTCATGCCCCCCCCCCACCTTTGCTCTGGGGGAAAAGTACGATACCACAGGCTGCTGATAAAGGAACCTGGTGCAGACCTGGGAGACAGGGAAAGGCCTCAAGTGGAGAGAAGGATGAACAGGAATTACCCAAGTGGAGGGCAAAGAAAGCAGCATGTGCAGAGGCCTAGGGCGGGGCTGGGTGTGAGGGGCAAGCTGCCCAGAGAGCTTAATGGAGGCCACTGAGGCTGGACTACCCACAGCAAGAGTGAGTGGGGAGGGTTTGGGGAGGGGACAGGGATCCAGACCACATGTGATCTTTTACACTTCGGTGTAGATTTTGTTCTTTATTGTTAGAGAAATAGGGAGCTTCTGAAGGGCTTTAGACGGTGCTGGGCAGGACACAGTCAGGTCGGCTCTTTGTAGAGAACAGGGTGGATGGAGTCCAGGGCAGATGTGGGGTGCCTGCAGCAGGCTACTGCAGCAGTCAAGGGGAGATGGGAGCAGCTTGGACTAGATACACAAGGGGAGGGAGGGAGGTGGAGGGCAGAGGAACTGACATCGCTAGTGATGGATGGGTGTGTGGAGGATGACAGCTCCCGGGTTTCCAGCTGGAGCAAGTGGGTGGACGGGGGGTCCTCCGCCGAGCTAGGCAGCAGGAGCAGGACCAGGCTGAGCAGAGACGGTGTATTCCATTCTGGACAGGTTGGGCTTAATGTGCTTTTGAGATACCGAAGTAGTTGATGTCAAATAGGCAGTTCATATATACAGGTCTGGAGGTCAAGGAGAGATCTCTGCTAGATATACAAACTCGATATTTCAATATACAGACGTAATGTTAATAATAGTGATGGCAGCTAACATTATCTAGTGCTTGCTATGTTCCTAGCTTCCTACATACAATATTTGTTTAGATGGTAATCAAGACTGTAGGCATGGGTTTAGAGGGGGGAAAATGTTGCTTTCAGCAACTCAAACATTTATTAACCAGGTTGGGAAAGGGGGACTTTGTAGGGGTAGGAGAAAAACCAAGCCAGTGTGTTTTCACAAAAGCCAGGAGATAGTGTTTGAAGGTGATCTGAAGAAAGAGAGGTCAGGTAGAAATGGTCCAGTTAAGCAACAGGTAGTCACGGTAGCCTTGACCAGAGTCCTTCCATGTGGAATGGTACAGAAAGCCAGAGGTAGTGGGTGGGAGGTGGGTGGTTCAGACTAGGCTTGAAATAAGTCAGGTAGTAAAGGGGAAGAGAAAGAAGATGAGGGTGGGGGAGGGGGGCTGGAGAATGTTGGGAGAGGGAGGATTTTTAAAGATGGAAGACACTGGGTGTGTTTACATGTTAAAAGAAATTGTTGGCTATACCAGTGGGAGAAATAGTGACTAAGGGTGTGCAGCTCTGGGGAGGGAAACAGGAAGGGGTCCACACCTGAGTGCAGGTGGAGGGGTAGGCTGGGTTGTGGAGGGGGGCTGAGCAGATACAGCCGCCAGGAGGCCACAGCTTTGGCGTTGGGATGTCAAGAGGGGAACCTTTCTGGAGGTGTCAATTGCCTATTGTAGGTGTAGGTGAGATCATCTGCTGAGAATGGGTGGTAGATGGTGTGGGTGGAGGTGTGTGCACAATCAGAACATTAGGATAATCACTGGAAGTGTAGGGTGTGGAGCAGAGAAGCAGCAGGAGTGCTCCTGAGTGCCGGGGGCCCACTGAGGCCAGCAGCCGGGGCATTTCCAGTGGAAGTGATTGTTCTGCCCTGTGGCAGTCTCCAGCCATCCCCCGCTGCTAGGCTGCAGCAGTAGAAGAGAACAGGTGGCGGGGTTCCTACAGGGCTGGGATCTGTCAGATAGCTGGGGAAAGCAGGGAGCAGGAATCTTTAGGTATTGGCAAGAATGTTGCTAAAATGACTAAAACGGGAACCTAAGAGAGGAGGATGAAAGTGAAAGACACAGCACTTAAGGACTTTCTGGCCTAAGGTTTTCAATTTTAAAAAGTCCCCAGTTTATTTGGGAAAACAATGCGCACACACACACACACACACTCACTCACTTGCTTTGCAACCCCAGGCTTGTTCCCTGAGCCAGCTGCAAGACTGAAAGAATAGGGTATTTCCCCAAGGTCTGCCCTTGTGCCAAGCCACTCCCCTGGAAGCAAGGAGAGAGGGGAAGACTTGCTCATGGACATGTGAAGCTCACCCACAATGTCTGTCCAGTCATTTTACACCACCCCTCGCCATTCATTGAACTGAATTTCTCCGCTACACAGGTCCAGGCCCAAAGAAGGGGCTGCCACACCACCTCCCAGAACACACTTACCAAATTTACAGGACCCAGTTTGGTTGTATATTAAGCCCATGGGGATGTTCCAGCCTGCAGAAGTGCCAACTGCAGTGTGGCAGGACTTCTTGCCTCGCAGAGAGTTCCAGGTGAGGTCGGCATCTGACTTCTTAACCACTGCCACAGCGTAGTAACCTTGCAACAGAGATACCAAGATGCAATTTCAGTATCTCCGGGGCCCTCCAAAAATGCATTCTAGAGCTGCTGCAGCTAGCCTCTGCCTGACAGTCTCTCCAGGGAGGGGGAATAGTCTGGACCCCTCACTTCACTCTAGCAGAAGCCCCTGCAAATAACTGTCATTATGAAGTACTGAGCCAAACAGAATGACACTCCTGCTCCAGATGTGTCTACATATGTACATTCACAAGTATTTACACACACACTTCACACTTTTTCATTTGAATCCTGCTTTACATTTTTTCCTGCGAGTTACTTGATTCTTTTTCAACAATATATTGTGGTACCTTTTTTTAATCACTAGAAATCAATATAGCTCTCGAATTCTATTTATGGGTTGACTCTAAGTTAGGTTCCACTGTACGGAAGTACCATATTTTATACTCCCCCTACTGGTGGACATTTACATTGTGACTCAGTTTTCCCTATGACAAACGACTTATCTATATAAATCTTTGTACGTGAGTGTGTTCCTGTTTAAATATGTCTGTTGAATAGAACTCCAAAAGAAAGAGCTTAATTACTTTTTAAAGGCTAAGTCTCTGATTTTTCAGGTTCATAATAACATTTTTTAATAATGAAAATTTAAATCTCTTTCCCTGATATAGTTTTTGATCTCTTGTTTTTATCTTACCGCATTCACTTCCAAAATAAGGCCGAATATCTTTGGTGGGAGGGGGCCTTCTTGTTTTGTTCTGATTCTAATGGGAACACCATTGATATTTCATGTATTCCAATCCCGATATTATGTAACGGAATTGTGCTTGTTGAATAAGGCCTAAACTGCAAAGCTAAATGTATATTAAGATTGGAATCATAAATCTTCAGAATTAGAAGACAATGTGTGATGGAAGGAGACTTGACTTGGGGTCATGAACACACAATACAATATACAGATGATGTATTATAGAACTATACACCTGAAACCTATATAATTTTATTAACCAACATCACCCCCAATAAATTTAGTTAAAAAAAAAAAAAAGAGCCCTGGCCAGTTTTGCTCAGCGGTTAGAGCATCGGCCTGCGGTCCGGAGAGACCCGGGTTCGGTTCCCGCTAAGGGCACGTACTTCAGTTGCAGTTTGTCCCCGGCCCTGGTTGGTCGTGCGGGTGGCAGCCACTTGATGTGTCCCTTCACGTCGATGTTTCTCTCTCTCTCTCCCTTCCTCTCTCTCCCTCCTACTCTATCTGTACAAAAAATGGAAAAATATCCTCGGGTGAGGATAAAAAAAAAAGTCCTCGGTTGAGGATTAAAAAAAAAAAAGAGTCCTGGCCAGTTTGGTTCAGCGGTTAGAGTGTCAGCCTGCGGACCAGAGAGACCCAAGTTCTGTTCCCACTAAGGGCATATACCTTGGTTACAGTTTGTCCCCGGCCCCGGTTGGGGTCATGTCGGTGACAACCAGTCGATGTGTCTCTCTCACATTGATGTTTCTTTCTCCTTCTTCCTTCCTCTCTCCCTCCTGTTCTATCTGAAGATAAATACAAAAATGTCCTCAGGTGAGGACAAAAAAGAAAAAGAAAAGATAATGTGGTTCACCACTGCTAAACTCCCCCCCCCCACCCCCCCCCCCACACACACACCCCTTCTTGCTGTTGTGACTCAGGTCTCTATATATTCAAGTCTGAAAAAGTTGGGAGTCAACATGGCAGGTAGAACACTTGCCTTGACAGTTACTTCCTAAATGATATCAGACAAATCACTTAACATTTAAGATCCTAAATTTCTCCTCAGTAAAATGGTGACAATGATACCCATCCCAGAGGGTTATTTAAGGAGATCAGATGTGCTAATATGAGCATATTGTAGGTTAGGAATGGAAGGGAAGGTTACCTCGATAGGTTTCTAGCCATGTTGCTAGTAGCAGAAGCAGTACCAGAGCCCCTCTCTTGGTGAAGCAGAGTCTCTGGAGGCTACAGCAACTCCTTACCTAACAGACCGTGCTCCATTACACCATCCCAGCAGCCAAATAATGTTATAGAGCTTTCTTGAGAGGTAACTCTTTTTGCACAAATGGCATTAATTCTTGTCATCCATTGTGTGAGTTCATGTGTATGGATTTGGGGTTAACCCCTCTCCATCTCTACTCAGCTCTAACCTTCTCCACCACAGTCAGCCACCTAGAACTGTCTACTAAACATCCTTGTTGACCTACATTTGCATATCACTGCAGTTACGGAAATTTCAACCACTCTTAAAGCAGTTAGAGTTCTTTCTGACTTCACACATTCTATAACCACAATAGATTACATGGCTGATGAAATGCCAGTCCTTAGCATTAGGGATAAAGACACAATTCAGAGAAGACCGTTAGCCATGAAAGCAGAGGGAGGAGAGGGACAACATAGCCTAGGGCTTGGATCCTGATGCATATGAAGGGAAGCCACTGTAGGGTGAGCAGCTTTGCACTCTTAAGGACTTTGCAGAGGTGGGCAGGGCAGAGCCTCTGTGACCCTGTGCTCGGTAGATGGTACTTGTGCTCTAAGAAACTCCAAACTCATGTTCTCTGATTTCAAGCTATACTACAAAGTTATAATAATCAAAACAGTATGGTACTGGCACAAAAACAGATACATAAATCAACGCAGCAGAATAGAGAGACCCTTGCTTGTATAGTCAATTAATTACAACAAAAGGAAGCAAGAATATACAATGAAGAAATGATAGTTACTTTGACAAGTGTTGTTGGGAAAACTGGACAGATATATCCAAAAAGAAAAGAAAAGAAACCACTCTCTGACACCATATACATAAGTAAACTTAGGTGGATTAAAGACTTAACTATAAGGCCTGAGTCATAAAATTCCTAGAAGAAAACATAAGTATTAAACTATTTGATGTCAGTCTTAGTAATATCTTTTTGGATACGTTCCCTTGAGCAAGGTAAGCAAAAGCAAAAATAGACAAAGGGGACATCACTAAACTAAAAAGCTTCTGAACAGTGAAGGAAACGAAAATACCACCAACTGAATGGGAGAATATATTTACAAATGATATATCTGACGAGGCATTGGTATTGAAAATATAAAAGAAACTCCTACAACTCAACAACAAAAAAATAAACAATCCAATTTAAAAATGAGCAAGGACATGAAGAGACATTTCTGCAAAGACATACAAATGACTGGGATACATATGAAAAGATGCCCAACATCACTAATCATCAGGAAATTGCAGATCAAAACCACAATGACTTGCCTTGGCCAGTTTGGCTCAGTGGTTGGAGCATTGGCCTGCAGACCAATGAGTTGTGAGTTCGATTCTGGTCAAGGGCACATACCTCAGATGCGATTCGTCCCTGGCCCTAGTCAGGTCATGCAGGAGGCAACCAGTCAATGTGGCTCTATCACATTGATGTTTCTCTCTGTCTCTCTCTGTCTCTGTCTCTCTCTCTTTCTCTCCCCCCCTCCTCCCACTCTATCTGATAATAAGTGGAAAAATATCCTCGGATGAGGAATAAAAAAACAAACAACCACAATGACTATTACCTCATACCTGCCAGAATGACTATTATCAAAAAGTCAACAAATAATAAGTGTTGGCGAAGTTGTGGAGAAAAGGGAACCCCCATGCACTGTTGGTGGCACTGAAAATTTGTGCACCCATTATAGAAAATATTATAGAGATTCCTCAAAAAGTTAAAAATAGAACTATCACACGACTCAGCAATTCCACTTCTGGGTATTTAGCTGAAGAAAACAAAAACACTAGTTCAAAAAAATACATGTACCCTTGTGTTTATTGCAGCATTATTTATAATAGCCAAAACATGGAAGCAACTTTGGTGTCCATCAATAGATGAATGGATAAAGAAGATGTGATTGACATATATGTATGGATCTAGAGTGTATTATGTTAAGTGAAATAAATCCAACACAGAAAGACAAATACTGCATGATTTCACTTGTATATGAAATTTTTAAAACAAACAAAAATAGAATTATAGAAACAAAGCACAAACTGATGGTTGCCAGAGGGAAGTGGAGTGAAGGGATGGATGAAAATGGTGAGGGCAATATAGTCGATAATAGCTCCATAACTTTGCACAGTGACAGATGGTTACTAGAGTTAGTGTGAGGAGCACATTGTAAGATACATAAATTCCGAATCACTATGTTGTATACCTGAAACTAATATAATACTGTATGCCAACTATATTTTGATTTTCAAAATTTTTAATTTAAAAAATAAAACTGGCCCTGGCCAGTTTGGCTCAGCGGTTAGAGCGTCGGCCTGCGGCCCGGAGAGACCCGGGTTCTGTTCCCGCTAAGGGCACGTACTTCGGTTGCAGTTTGTCCCCGGCCCTGGTTGGTCGTGCGGGTGGCAGCCACTCGATGTGTCCCTTTCACATCGATGTTTCTCTCTCTCTCTCTCTTCCTCTCTCTCCCTCCCACTCTATCTGTACAAAGAATGGAGAAATGTCCTTGGGTGAGGATTAAAAATAATAATAATAAAAAATAAAACTAAAAGAAACTCCAAACCCAAATGACCACCTGTTTTCATCTCAGAATCTTCCATTACAGTTGTTTTCAAACCTTAATGTGCACAAGAATCAGCTGATGGCTTCTTAAAACACAGAGCAGTGACCCCATCCTTGGAATTCAACTCAGTAGACCTGGGTTGGGGCTCAAGAATTTTCATTTCTAAGAAGTTCTCAGGTGCTGCTGATGCATCTGGCCCAGGTACTGCACTAGATGGAGAACCACTGCTCTAGCTATGCCCAAGATTAGTACTTTGTGGACAGATACAGACCCTCTCTACCTATGTGGAGACAGGGATGGAAGAACTTGTCACCTGGTCTTCTATTCTGAAGATGAGGTTGACTCCCCTGCTACTCAAATCTAACTGGCTAAAAGCTAAAGAGTGATTCATTTCCTTCCTCATCTTCATTAACAGCAAGGCCCCAGAAATGTCAGGAATGGGCTCCTGCCCCAGTGTTGACCTTCGTGGAGAAATGGGCATGTGACAAGGAGCAGTGTGGTTGGTCAGGAAGGGTGCAGGGTTTCCAGTCAGGCCACCTCTTCTCAAGCCCAGGTGCAGCCACTTCCTGGCTGTGTGGTCCTGGTCAAGTGACACAGTCCCTGAGCCTCACTTTCCCCATCTACATAATATGGGACAATGGTGCCCACATACTAGAGGATTGCTGAGAAAAGTAAACAGAAATGGTGCGAGCAGGAGTCCTATCAACTGTGAAGTACCCTACAAACAGTCATTATTACAGATTCGTGACAGATTTGCCCGTTAACAGTTAACTATGGTGTCTTTTTCTCCTTCATCATTTTTTTTTTTTTTTTACAACTTTAGTAACCTTTGTTTATTTTAGGGCTTTCCTCACCCTTTTTCCAAAACAGGCCTTTACCTTTGAGCCCTGGAGTTACTGGTTCTGACTCACCTTCCATGAGTGTATTCACACACTTAGACCCAAGCTGCTCATTGCCATCTGTAGGCACTAAAAAGAAAAAGAAAAACAACTGAGGTACATGGCATTAAAGTCTTACAAACTCACCCAAAGTCATAAGCTTTTCAATCATAAGGGCTAAAAATAAAATGAGGAGAAACACTGACTAAGCAGTTTTCATTGGTCATCAACAAACTAAGATTCTGTAGTTTCATTTTACTTCCTTTTCCCCCTAATCTTTGCCATTTGAACATTAGGTTTCATCCCAGAATGTCCTCAATACTTAGGCAGATACAGAGAAAGAAAACAAAATGCCCTTTGAAAGGGAGGCAGGCACCACAAAAATCTTGACAAAGATCCTTTTGCATTTACTATGTGATTCAAATCATCCTGACATCTTCTCTTTGGACTGTGGTAGGCAATCATTACATTCTTGCTATGTTGGAGGGCAAAGAACCAGTCCATAGATTCAGAAAGACCTGGATGCACTCTTCTACCTTGGACACAACATTTAACTTCTCTAAACCTTAGTTTTTACATCTGTAAAATGGACATAATAGTATTTGTGTTAACAGAGTTATTTTGTTTTGAAGGATAATGTATGGTTTCTTGCTCACTGACTAGCAGATGAGGTGTTTCCCAAATGATAGTGGTGAAATCCTCTTCTCCAGCCTTATTTTTTCATGTGGACAGATCCCCACTATAGAACACAACTTGCAGCCCCATCCCTCAGTCTTCCAGAGCAGCTGGCATAAGTTAATTCTGGATTCGTAAATGTGGCAAAGGGATCTAGGCACATGGGGCTCAGCCCCTTCTTTCTTGACTAAGGATAGCGGGGAGAAGATGGTTTAGGGCTTCTCGCCTATGACAAAATGTTTTCCTCTGACCTGTTCTCCTGAATCAGTGGGCAACTCTAACCAAAGGGCAATTTGGCAAACAGTGTGGCCAACTCTCCACCATGCTCTCCCATATCATCATTTCAGTAATAAAGGCATTCTTTTATTTTTTATTTTGCCTAAATCCTATATTTAGATTGTAATTGGTTCTGACATTCGGAAAGGGGAATATCCACTAGCTCCCTACATTCCATCAATAGTTATTATTATCTCAACAATAAACTAAAATTTCCCCATCTCCAAGTCCATGGCCCAGAGGGCATAGATCAGAAAGGACACTTCCTTCCACTTACTGTAGTTCTCTGCCAGGACAGGCACCAGACCACACTTGCCCGCCGTGTAGGTAAATCCTCCATCTAAGCTCATGGCATCAGCTTCTCCTTTCTGAAGTTAGAAAATAAATCAGCGGCACAACAATGAGGTTGTTATCCTGCCTCACTAGCCCTTGGAAGTTCCCATCTCATTGGCTTCACATCCCATGTCCTTGTGACTCACCAATCATGGATCACCCAAAGCTTCTGCCACATAAACACAGTTTTAGAAAACTGGGCATGGCCCGGCCAATTTGGCTCAGCGGTTAGCGCGTCGGCCTGCCGTCCAGAGAGACCCCGGTTCAGTTCCCGCTAAGGGCACATATCTCGGTTGCAGTTTGTTCCCGGCCCTGGTTGGTCGTGCGGGTGGCAGCCACTCGATGTGTCCCTTTCACATCGATGTTTCTCTCTCTCTCTCTTCCTCTCTCTCCCTCCCTCCCACTCTATCTGAACAAAAAAATGAAAAAATGTCCTCGGGTGAAGAGAAAAACTGGGCATGCGTTGGGCCTCTGGACCCAGGAGAAACAGCCCAACCCAGGTCATGCTCCCTGGCCTCTCATGAGACCCATACTGACTGCTGGACATGTCCTCACTATACTTTCACTGTACTGTTGTCACTCAACAACCCACTCAATGCCTGCACTGATCTGTTCCCAGGGAATAGGTTTGCTTCTATATGGCAAAGTTCAGTTCTGGTCTCATAACACCATTGGCATTATCCTCAGAGCCCTGGCACAGTAAAGGTTGTCCCTAAATAATTAACTTCTTTACTTAAATAATTCATTACACCGCCCCGGGATCTGACTACTCCAAAGGACACATCCTAAATACTATTCCTCACATAATTTTTCATCCATAAAAAGAGTAAAACATCTATCTACCTCAGAGGCTGATTATGAGGATTAAATGAGTTAATGCAAGTTAAGAGGTCATAAACAGAGATATTACCTGTCATTAATATTAAAGGCATACTCAGAAATATTGACGATTAAAGAACAGAAATCTTCACACCCATATTATCTATAATAGCAAAGGATTTGGAGATAATTCAAATATAGACATTTAGAAATTGGTTAAATAAATTGAGGTAGAGATACTTTGTGGACTATTATGCAGCCATTAAAACTATTTTAAATGAATACTTCATTACCTAAGAAAGTGCACCAACTAGACCCAAGACTTTAAGTAATAATAATAACTAACATTTATTGACTGCTACTGTATGCCAGGCAATGTTATAAGCACTCAAATTCATTTAATCCTTCTAATTGACAAAGTTAGGAGACTGTATAAATTGCAAGATCTTAATCTTATGGGTTGGTCCCAGAGAGGTTTACCCAAATTAGGATCTTCTTTCCTAAGACAGACTGTGGGTCTCCAAAGTTTGCCAATTTTTCAGTCCTTATTTATAATTCTTTTCTAATCACAAATGTATTATCTGTTCATAGAAAAATAGAAAGTTAACTTCATAACCCAAAAATTGGCATAATGATCTCTGAGTTATGAAGTTGTGAATGATATTATTTTTCATTTCTTTTCCAGCATGTAATATTTTTATCACCAGAGAAAAATTAAATGTTTGACTAAGGGACTGAAAAAGTTGATTTGCTTTCACAGTCCAAAAGGGCCTTGGATGTCACCCCACTTTCTGCAGGTCCTAGGCTGGACACTGCTCAGAGCTCCCTGGTCACCGGAGCTAAGCACCAAATGAGTTTGGGCCTTGGGCTGGCTCTTTGTTTCCTCCCAGCCCTGAGCTGGAGGAGTCCGTGGGATGGAGTGGGATGGGGCTGTGGAGAGTTGGGGGAAACACACAACAATTGCATCTCAGCCTCGCACTGATGGGAAGGTATCTGGGAGATCTCCGCAGACGTGCCACGTGCGTGGGTGTCTGAGCTCAGCTGTGGAGGTAGGGCCTTCCTTACCACAATGGCAGCAACACAGTCCTCAGTGGTCTCCTTCATGGTGCAACTTAAGATGCCACCGCTCACGGCACTCCATTCGTCACACTTGGCCCTCTCGTGGAGGCCCACTGCGCACCACTGCACCCCCTGAGGGCCTTCCACACCTAGGACGGGTGGAGAAGAGCAGGGGTCCAAAGGAAGCTCCAAGATGGGCTTAAGGATTTAGTGCCACTGGCTGCAGAGTGGCTGCCCAGTGGGGGTCCCCATCCACAGAGCAGTCTCATGCCCACAGCACCACTCACCCCTGCCTATTACCCTCCAGGAGAAATGGAAACTCAGTTCTCAGAAAGAGCAGTGAAGGCAGAGCAACCCTAGCCTCCCTCCTGACCTCACCTTCCCAGGCTCAGCTCCCCGGAAAGGCCTCTCTGAGCACCAGCCCAGCTCAGGGCCTCCTGGGGTTTTCTCTTACAGGACTACAGGCCTGGGTTCTCCCATCCCGGGAGCGTCCCCCAGGTGGTAGTCATGCGTTCTGTTCTGGGTAAACCTGCTTGCTCTCCCCTCAATGTCTTTGTTCATCACAATATGCCCACATCTAACACAGTGGCTTTGTAGATGCTCAATAACCATTGGTTGACTAAATGGAGGGGGAAGAAAGAGAAGGAAGCAGTGAACCACAGGGAGTCAGAGGAAGGCAGGAGCTGGATTAAAACCTTCTAAGATTCTAGTTCTCCTGATGGTGGCAAAGGCCACCACTCTCTTCGGTTTTGGGTGGGTTATCTCCCCTGTCAAATAGACCTGTTGTTGGGTGGGGCAACTCTGGTTAATACAAAGAAGCCAGAGCCACCCAGCCGGTGTGGCTCAGTAGTTGAGTGTTGACCCATGCATGCACCAAGAGGTCGCAGGTTCGATTCCCGGTCAGGGCACATGCCCAGGTTGTGGGTCAGATCCCCAGTGGGGGGCATGCAGGAAGCGGCCAATCCATGTTCTCTCTCATCAAAGTTCCTATCTTTCTCTCCCTCGCCCTTCCTCTCTCTCTAAAATCAATAAAGAAAAAAAATTTTTTTTCAGAGAATCCAGAGCCATCATTACTTCAAGTTGACTGTAATCTGAAGATAAGTGAGGTCTTGTCCCAGCTCAACAGAAAATCCTCTCATTGAACCCAGTGCCGCTGGTAGTGCCCTGGGCTCTGCAGGCCAGTGCAGGCTGCGGGGGTGAAGCCGCAGGGACTGGGAAAGCCTCCATGACCCGCATCCTGCCCACTGCCCAGCCGGGGCCTTACACACCTCTCCTGAGAGACTGAGTGGCAGCTAAATGCTCATATCCCAGGTACAGCTTGGCATCCATCTTGGGTGGGATTCTTAAAAACCCATGGGTGGCGTCTGTAAACAGCAGGTCCTTCCCATGAGAAGAGCCAAAGAGCTGGAATTCTGTTGACTTATCTTTTCCAAAATATTCCTGTTGAAAGGATAAAAGAAACAGTGAAGGAGGAAGGCTGGCATAGAGAGGCAAAGGGAAAACAACCCCCAAACCAGATACGAACAGAAAGAGCAAAAACAATGAATGCCTGAGAGAGCAGACGGTGGCCACAGCCCTCAGAAGTCCCTGTGGCTCACGGGGTTCTCAAGTCTCTCTCCAGGGAATGCTTCACTCAACCCCAGCTTGTTTGCCTTGTGTGGACTCCGGGAAGCTTCGGGGGCTGCCTCCCAGATCAGTACTCAGGAGATTGGGGTGCGAAGAGGCTTGGGGCTGTCACGTGCTGGCAGCGGCCCTCTCCAATGCTATGCTCCCCCAGGGCAGTCAGAGAAGGCTGCTGGCTGATTGCCCCAGGTGGGCTGCATCTGGAGCAGCTGGTGATCCATCAAGGCCGGAGGTGCGAGTCCTGGGCTCCGCCCCCAGCCCAGTCCTGCCACTGAAGGAGTTCAGGCAGTCCCTTCCCACTTCTGGCCTCTGCAAAAACAAAGGGCCCTTTGCCTATGACTCCCACAGACTGGCCCAGAACTGTTCTCAACTGTAGCTGACTGACAGCAGCACCTGCTCACTCACTCTTTCCAATGTCTCTGCTTTTTCTTTCACAGTGGCTCTGCATAAAAGGTCACCTGCTGCTTTCCCTGGCAAACCCCTCCACTCTTTCTTGGGGTGCACACAGCTTATTCCTGGGGCCCAGGAACCTCCCCAGATGCACTCTGTAAATCAGTCCTTCTGTCCCCCACAAAGTACATACTCCATTTCCCCAGGGTGGTGCCATCCCACCTGGTGTTAGATTGTGTGTTCACAATTCTCTGTGTGCAACCCAAGGACAGGTCTTTGTCTAGTTCATCTCTGAACCCCCAGTACACAGCAGACAGCGCTGACAGGGATGGGACCAGTGATGAATGAGGGTTGGCTGGGAGAGACTGCCACCCACCCTGGACAGAGAGGAATGCTCCTGGAGGGACACCTGCCACTGAGGGAAGTCAGGAGGGCGGATCACATGCCAACAGGACAATAGGGGGACACCTCCTGGAGGGGGGCGTCTGCACTGCATCCTGAGGACCCGTTGAGCCCCGAGCAGAACACGCTGGGGCAATGAGGAACTTCTGCAGTCTTGGGCCCACCAGGTCAATGATGCCAGGCGAGGGTTTTGTGGCCTCCACTGTCTATAACATATACAGACTGGGTGGCTTGTCAGTGAAGAAGAGGGTGACGTGTGGTGTGGTTTCTGCTGTGTCCTCCACCCAGAAGGACTTCCAGAGTAGCAATGAGGGAGTGAAGGAAAGCACCCAAAATCCAAGCAACAACTCCTAAGCAGAAGGGAGAACAGTGGATTTGGTACCTGGGCCTGGTTGAGAAGCTCCCAGATCAAGTCCTCCTTGCCGCCCACACTTCGGGCCACAACGGCATGGGAGGGGACAATGGTCAGGTGGCACTCCTCATATTTGTCCACTGGCTTCCGGGTGTTGTCCCTGCAGAGCAGCTCATACTGGTCCCTCTCAGCCTGGTCTGCCAGGTTCTCTGGGGAGGAAAGCCCAGAGGAGTCAGCAAACTTAGGCAGAGCCGTCAGCCAAGGTCCCCCTCCTCACTGAACCACAAATTACTTGACCTTGTTGAAATAACCATCTAGGCCCAAGTGGAGGCGCTCCTGCCCAGGATGCCACATCAACAGACCGAAACCTAGATAACGTTCATCTCTGTCATGTTCGGCTTGACCAGAAACGCAGTATCTAGCCAGTCCCCAAAGGCCAACCCAACTCTATACTGCTTCCTTTGTTCCTTCTCACCCCAAACAAGGTTGACTGTGTGGTCCCTGCCAAGCAGATATTTCCTATGTGTCTCCTCCTGGTTCTTTATTTTTTGTCCTATGGAAGCTTCCTGGCTTCCTCCCCCTTTTGCAGTTCTCCAAGTGGGGACTGCTCACTTCATGAAGTGCTAATAAAGTTTGTTTACATCACCGAAATTATCTTCTGAAGTCATTCTTTCAACAACCCCAAGAGGACTGAAAGAGAATCTTTTCCAAATACATTTTCTACAGGTGAGGAAGCTGAGGCCCTGGGAGATGAAATGACCGGTTCTCAGTGCAGAAAGCCAGGGCTGGGGGGCCTGCTTGGCCCGGGGCCCTGCACTGCTCCTTGTCTCCATGGCTCTGCTGACATGCAAGGTGACAGCTGAGTGTTACCGAGCACTCGGCCCACCGAACACTTTGCTCTTCGTCATTTAATCCTCATAACAACCGGAGGAGGCCAGTGATGTGATTTCCCGATTCTAGAGAAAAGGAAATAGCCCTGGAGGGTTGAGGTAACTCATCAAACTCACTAATCTGAGGCTGACAGTGGCCATGCTAGGAGAGTCCAGGTCCTCTGCTCTGAAATGCTCCCCTGAGGGCAGAGCCCACCAGGGAAAGGTGGTGGGAGAGGCGAGGGGTGGACGGAGACCTGGAGCCCAGTCAGGGCACTTCATAGATACAGAGAAGGGCCAGGAAACCTTGTAAGAAAAACAAGCTCTTTGGTTCCCTTTGTCTATTAGAACGGTCTGGGTTGAATTGTGCCCCCCCCCCACCTCCAAAATTCACATGTTGAAGTCCTGGTCCCCAGGACCTCCGAATGTGACCTTATTTAGAAATAGAGTCATTACAGATGTAATTTGTTAAGAGAGATCATACTGGAGTAGGGTTGACCCCCAACTCCATTATGACCGGTGTCCTTATAAAAAGAGAAAATTTGGACACAGAGAGACACGCGCACAGGAGGAACGCCATGTGAAAAGAAAGACAGAGATTAGGGTGAAGTGACCACGAGGCAAGGCACAGCAAAGACTGCCAGCACACTACCAGGAGCCGGGAGAAAGGCATGGGACAGACCCTCCCTCACAGCCTTCAGAAGGAGCCAACCCTGTCAACATCTTGATCTTGGAATTTCGCCTTTAGAACTAGGAGACAACAAATTTCTGTTGCTTAAGGTACTTCATTATGGCAGCCCTAGCAAACTCATACAGAAGGTCTTTGGGGTTGATAAAATCTCCTATCAAAAGACAAGGAGCACAGCTAGCCGGGTGGCTCAGTTGGTTGTAGTGTCATCTCATACACCAAAAGGTTGAGGGTTTGATTCCCAGTCAGGGCACATATCTATGTAGGATGTGGGTTCGATCCCTAGTCAGGGAGCATATGAGAGGCAACTAATCGATGTTTCTCTCTCCTCTTCTTCTCTGTCTAAAATCAATGAAAACGTCTCCTCAGGTGAAGATTCAAAAAAAGAGAAGTACAATTAGAATTCTTGTGAATGTTACAATTTTAATTAGGTATGCCATAGGGAAAAAAAACAAACACATTTTAATTCTTTATCTTTAAAATTTCTAGTAATGTTAGAATTAAATGAAAAGAGGCAGTATGATCTAATCGTTTCAGAAAGAAATAACTTTTCTACCTCAGTCACTCACCACCAACACTCATTTTCACCCCTAAGCCCCAGTGGACAGTCTCTCAGAAACTTCTACTTTTAATAAGGGGTCTTTTATAATAGTAAACAAGTAGCTTACAGCAGATAAACCAGGATGGTCTGAGACAACCCGTTGTTTTTGGAAGGAGAGGCTGTTTTCAAATACTTCACTGTGAGGGTAAGAAGATGCTGCCTTCTGACATAACTGTGGTAACTTGAGCAACCAGAGGACATAACATTGATAATTATTTGTAACAACTTGATCCTGGGAAATGAAACCCATAGATGCCCCCACTAATTAAAATTACTGATCATAAGACATGCATCAATGACCAAAATGCAAACAAAGCAGGTCAATGTGTAGTAATGAGAAGACAATAATTGTGCATGGCTGAACAGGAGAACAAAACACAGGAAACTCCTATTTCGTATTAGAGAAAGAACTAGGTAATAAGGAACTAAGGCCCATGTAAAAAGCAAGCACTTAAAACTTCCTCGAGGTAGCAGGCATTAATTTTAAAATGAGCCCAACATAGTGAATACACACTTGGATTTAAACATCTTCGAGTGGTACAAGTGCGTTCTGTATCTGATAGAAATGTGATTGGTTATAAAACCCAAAGTCTATAACCTCAACTTGTCCCCAAAACTCTTTGTTATTTGATAAATTACCCAAAACTCTGAAAAGCCTTTTTTCTTTTTAAGTTTGGAAATACAGAAGAAATACATTTTTGTCCATGGTAATAATGCTTTGGCAACAGATTTCATTGTATGCGTGCTAGTAAGTCCTGAAATCATGATGATTGTTTGTGTGTTTGCTGATGGTATTTGAAACATTTAGGAGCCATTTATAATGAAGCATTCAGGAGATTACATTTGAAACTGATATGTCAGTGACTAAGAGAAGTTGATTATTAAAACTCATTTTGTTTTACTAGTTAAGTAATGTTTAAATGTTCAGAAAATCTGTTCAGTAGATTTATAGACTGAACAAATTGAGCACTAAACAATGTACAAATAACAAAATTTTTTTTTACACAGAAACCCTTGTATTTCATTAAAGATCTTGTCATCATCACCCTTCTCTAGATGTAGGGAAACTTTCAGGCAAAAAACCAGTTCCCCTGGCCAGGGAGTGACACACATGATTCCTCCTCCACCCCACACTTACCAAATGCGGTCATATGTCTCATGAAGCCCACGTCCCCCACGCCAGCCTGCAGACACCTGAGGAACAGGACAGCTGTAGTAAGGCCACTCTCCAGGACAAGGCCTTGCCCCTCCCCTGTGCAGCCCCGCTGAGCTTCTGCCCGCTTCCTAGGCTCAGGGAGCTTTGCCCAGTTTCCCAGACTTTCATCTCTGGGCAAAGCTCCCAGGCGATGGCCCTTGTGAGGGGCATCTGAACCCCCACAGCCAAGCTCAGGGTAGAAGCAGGTATGAGCTTTATAAGCCACATCCCAGGCAACTCTGGCGAGAGATGGTGTGAAAGTAGGACCCTCACCTTCCTCTTCAAAGGCAGCCAAAAGCAATAGATTTAAAAAATAAATAAATAAAGGTTTAAAGCTTTTTACATGGAGAATCAACACTTTGGGTAGCCCTAACTAGTTTGGCTCAGCATTTAGAGCATCAGCCTGTAGACCAAAGGGTTGCAGGTTCGATTCCCAGTCAAGGGCACATACCTGGGTTGGAGGTTCCATCCCGGCCTTGGTCCACGTTCGTGCGAGAGGCAACCAATCTATGTGTCTCTCTCTATTAATGTTTCTCTCTCCCTCTCTCCCTCCCTTCTACTCTCTCTATAAATCAATGGAAAAATATCCTCCGGTGAGGATTAACAGAAACAAAAAACCCCACAAAACCCTGGATAGCCTTGGATTCCTGGCCAGCGTAGCTCTGGTTTTGAGGGGCAGCCATTTCTCTTACTGAGCATAGAATAGGGAAGGTGCCTTCCTGGGGCTGAGAGGGAGGTGGGGAGAGGCAGGCGCATGTCCCACCCACAGGGAGATGCTTAGGCAGAAAGAAGCAAACTGGGAGGTCCTGGCTTTGAACCCAGCTGGGAGCCCAAGCCTGTGTCTGTGCATCCCAGAGTCCCAGAGACGGGCCTATGCCCTTCACCCTTCAGGAGGGTTCGGTAGGGTAACACAGGCAGACCCCAGGCTTCTGGGAAATAAGAGAGACTTCTGCACAGAAGGCTCGTTGGGATGAGCAGGAGGCACACAGGACCCTGGGGTCCACAGTGGTGCTCCAGGTGGTCTGGGGCACCCCGGCCTACTCCCTGTGCCTTAGTTTCACCAATTTCAGAGTGAGGGGGAGGAGCTGGGAGTCTCACTCACTTGAGGGCACCCGAGTAGCCAAAGTAGGGTTCGTGGTTGGAGCAGGCACACTTGTCTGTCCCCTTCCCCGCACATAGCTGGCACAGTTTGGGGAAGGCTGTCCAATCCGCACAGGGGACACAGCTGGCTTCGAAGAAATTGGACGCTGCTGCTCAACACAGAGAGGTGGAACACAGGACATGAGCCAGCCTGGCCAAAGACAGTTACAGCTCCCAGCCCAGGCTCACGAGTGAACAGTGACCAGAACAAAACCAGCATACCAGGCCCAGCTTTGCCCTTATGTGTTCACTCTTCAAGATCAAGGTCCCCACAAAGGGACATGTTAACTCCTATTCTCCCACCACCCTCCCCTACAACCAGGCCTGTGCCTGCCACCAACCAAGGCCTGTCTCAGGTCACTGTCAGCTCCCCTCCCGGCCTTGTCACCCTGGAACAGCTCAGAGAGAAGTCTCCCCTGGAAGTCATGCCCAGGAGATGACAGGCCCACCTGGACAGGTGCACGCCAAGCTCATGGCCAGCAGATGGCCACCAGAGAATGCTCCAGCAGGACGGGAAACACATGAGCCACAGAAAGGAAGGCACCCAGGAAAGTGGACAGCAGGGCCCAGTGACCTTGGTCCTGCCTGAATACACTGTGGGCCTGATGCCCTTCCCCACCTTCTTCTCCAGACAGCATCTGCAGAGCTACAGGGAGCTCAGAGAAGACAAGACTCAGCTGAAACCTGCAAGAGTTGCTGGCGTAGCAGAACTGACCAGTTTAAAGCTGGTTAACCTTCCATCTCCACTCAAGAGGCATCACTCATGACCATCTGATCATGTCTGAATGACCTCAGGGTGGCCTGTGTGGCACCTAAAGAAGGGACACCTGAGGGCACACACCCTCCTTCCTGCTTACCTTTCTGAAGAGAGTCATGTGGTTCAGTCAGTTCCTTATAGAGTAAGCCCATGGGGACTTTCCACCCAGCGGACCTGCCAAGGCCTGTGTGGCAGGACTTCTTGCCTCGGAGTTCATTCAGCTGGAAGCCACTGCCCTTTTTCACCACGGCCACAGCATAATAGCTGGTCTGTGGATCTGCAAAGAGACCATGTGAATGGAAGACCCGCAACCTGGGCTTCAGGGAAACACTGCTCATCACGCCGGGCTCCTGACCAGGGAAGGGGAACCCACATGCACACTTATGTTGGGTTGGATCTCAAAGAGGGAGGGATCAGAGTAAGTTTCCTAGGCTTGCAGGGAAGAAAAGGACCACAGAGGGGACATCTGTACTAACTCTCCAGGTTAACGCAGGGAAGAAGGCCACACGTGCCCCAAATGATTTTTCCTGCCCTGGCCCTGCAGGTTGCCTGCCTACACCTACCAACCCAAGCCTACCAGAAAACTGGAAGCCACATTCCTGTATCCCTCTAAGTATTTCCTGGGACCCAGGGACAGTCAGGTTACTCCCAGAGTGTGTGCTCCAGTGTGGTCTCTCCTCTGAGTGAGGCACTGTGGTTCTTGGAGGACTCCTCTATACAGCGCTAAACTCTGATGGTTCAGCTCTGTGTCTCCAGGGAGCACATTTCCTGGCCCAGGAGGTCGGTGTCAGCGGCACCAGTCCTCAACCAGCCCAAAGCCACAGAGGCCTTGAGTTGTGCCGGTGGGGACGTATGGGACCCCTCATTACCTACTCACTCCTCCACTACCTGCCTAAAGAAGACAAGAGTCTACCGGGAGAGAACAAGCGTCTATCAGGAGAGAGCAACGGCCACAAACTCTCCTGAGTGCCTGGGGAGAACTTACTGTCTTTTGACCCATAGTTCTCTGCCACTACAGGTTTCAGGTTGTAGGGGGCCAGGCCGGCCTCATACACCAAACCTGCATCCAGGGTCACAGCATCTGCTTCGTTTGCCTGAAAGGGAGCAGACCAGATGCCAATGAAGCTTTTACTTCTGGGAAAGCCCACCTAAACCCAGGCGAGTGGGGGTGACTGGCGGGAACAGAAAAACCATCAACTTGTCCAGACCACACACCAAACCAAGCTTCAGTTGACTGCACCACCCTGGCGAGGGAATTTGGTCACCGTATTCCTATTCCTCCCACATAGAGGAAGGAATGGATGATTTGTCTTTTTTTCTGGTGAGAAGTCTGGTCTTGTCTCAGAAACCAGTGTGTGCTCTTTCAGGGTCAACCTGCAGTAGAGACTTTACGTAGCAGGCCTGGTGGCAGAACGCTGCCCTCCCCACACCAGACTGGGTGCGCAGCCCATGCACTGCAGTCTCTGGAGGAGGTTGCAGTCAATTACACAGGTCCACCTGCCTGGCTGTGCTCTCACACGTTTACCTTGAGAACCCAGATGCTTTCCTTTGGTGACCTCTTTATCTTGGGCGCTCTGCTGAGGCCTCAGATGGCACTGTGAAGCCCTCATGCAGAAGTGGGGCTTTGACATTCTTCTTCACTCTGATTTAGTACTCAGTACTTTTCCTTCCTGTTCTGGATTCATTATGACGGCAGGAGTCTTTTGTTCATGGATTCAACTTTTCCCTGGGTTTAACTTCTTGCTTTTGAACTAAGTGTTAAATGATTATTACTTCCATTATACCTCACTGTTTACTTAATCGGCTAGTCACACATCACAACTCACCACTGTCCAACTCAGCTGCATTTTACACATTAAAAAATAGACACAGAAAGTTTAAGTCACTTTCCCAGGCCACACAGCTGATAAAGCATGGAGCTGGGATTAAAATGCAGACAGTGTGGGTTTATTACTGCCATTATGCTGATACTTGATGGGGCTTGGTGGTCTTTTTGTTTGTTTGTTTTTTAAGTTTCTGCTTCTACTAAATCTTAACTTTAAACTCATATTTCACTTTAAGTATTATAGGTCCCTTTCCACTGGGTCTAGAATGTATTTTCTTTTAAAGTGAGAAGCACTGTTTTTATATAGACATTTACTAACAAATTGTATTCTTTTTTCTTGCTTCAATTATCTTTAGTAAAAATTATTTTTCTAGCAGCCCTTGCCAGTACTCTATGAATAGTTTTTATTGATTAAATTACAAGGCAGAAGATATACCTCCATGATCTGTTTCCTGTTACAGGTAAGCAATAAGACAACAGTATTTCTAAGTGGAATACAATAATGTAAGCCAAACTCTATAGCTATCTAGCTGAAACTTTCTTTTTAATGTTGGGGTTGTTTTGTTGTTGTTTTATTGTTATAAAATACATGAGATAAAATTTACCATTGAACCATTTATTTTTTTATCCTCACCCGAGGACATTTTTTGTTCAGATAGAGTGGGAGGGAGAGAGAAGAACAGAGAGAGAGAGAGAGAGAGAGAGAGAAAGAAACATCGACATGAAAGGGACACATCTAGTGGCTGCCATCCGCACGACCAACCAGGACCGGGGACAAACTGCAACAGAGGTACATGCCCTTAGCGGGAATCGAACCCGGGTCTCTCAGGACTGCAGGCTAACGCTCCAACCGCTGAGCCAAACTGGCCAGGGCCATTTTTAAGTGTATATCTCAGTGCCATTAAATACATTCACATTGGTGAATGACCATTTTATTCCACAACTAGCCACCAGATATGAAACAATCTCGAGGCTTTCTTGGTATCACAAAAGGTAGGCAAATCCCTCAGAGACTCTCCACACCAATCCTACACACTGTGGAATAAAAATAAATAAGGAAATACACAAGAGCTTCTCCCAGGGCAGGGAGGTTAGTGCATTTTTGGACAAGATCCCAGGCTCCCAGGCAGGAATCATTGGAGCCTCAGGGGCTCAGGAACCAAGGTCAACACCTAATTCATGGGGTCCACTAGAGCAGGGATTCTGAGAAGAACTTGAACCAGCAGGGAGAGGGAGGATTAAAATCAAACAGGACCTCCAGGTACACACAACCAAACCACAGTAAGGTAAGGTACAATGCATGGGTGTGAACAGACTTGGGCCTTCAAGGATTGTGAAGGTTGGAACTGTCAGATGGAATGAAGAGATTTCTGTGAGGTATTTAGTTTTATGTACAAAGTGACAGCTACAATCACAGGGATAAGCATAGAACAGAAAATTATCAGGTATAAGAAGAAGAAAAAAATTAACTGATGCTTCTAGACCCCAAAGTATAACTGTTGTAATAAAAAAGTGAATGATTTTTCATGATAGGCAGATAAATAATTTTTGTATTAATAAACGCCATGTGTTGAATCTGGGGGAAAAAGTGAATAAATGGGCAACAGTTGATTAGACATGTTTAAGGTCTAAAAAACTATTAGAACTAATAAATGACTTCAATGAAGTTGCAGGATACAGAATCAATACACAGAAATCTGTTGCATTTCTATGTACCAATAACGATCAGAAAAAGAAATTAAAAAAGCGATCCCATTTACAACTTAACCAAAGACATGAAAGACCTGTATTCTGAAAATTGTAAGACAATGAAGAATTAAATTGAACAAGAAACAAATAAATGGAAGACTATACATTGCTCATGGATAGGAAGAATTAATATTGTTAAAATATCCTTACTATTTAAAGTAATATACAGATTTATATACAGATTTAATGCAATCTCTATTAAAATAACAATGGCATTCTTCTCAGAATAAGAAAAACTAATCCTAACACTTGTTTAGAACCACAAAAGACCCTGAATAGCCACTTAATATAGACAATTAATAACAAAAAATCTTGGGGAAAAAAACCCAAATTAGAAGGTATCACACTTCCTGATATTAAACTATACTACAGTGCTACAGTAATCAAAACAGTATGGTACTGGCATAAAAACATATAGATCCTTGCTTATATGGTCAATTAATCTATGACAAAAGAGTCAAGAATATACAATGGGGTAAAGCAGTCTTTTCAATAAGTGGTGCTGGAAAATCTGGACAGATAAACACAAAAATATTAAATTGGACCACTTTCTGACACCATATTAAAAAAATAAACTCAAAATGGATTAAAGACTTAATTGTTAAACCTGAAAATATAAAACTCCTAGAAGAAAACAAAGGAAGTAAACTATTTGACATCACTCTTAACAATATTTTTTTGTGTTCTGGGTTGAATTGTGTCCCCCCAGGGATATGTCTCCTCAAGAAAAAGAAACAAAATAAATAAATAAATAAATAAATAAATAAACAAACAAACAAATGGGACTACATTAAATTAAAAAGATTTTGTACAGCAAAAGAAATCATCAATAAAACAAAAATACAACTTACTGAATGGGAGAAGATACTCATAAATGATACATCCAATAAGAATATCCAGAAATACATAAAGAACTCATACAAGATAATACCTCAAAAAAAATCCAATTTAAAAATGGGCAGAGGGCCCTGGCCGGTTTGGCTCAGCGGTTAGAGCATTGGCCTGCAGTCCAGAGAGACCCAGGTTCGGTTCCCGTTAAGGGCACGTACCTCGGTTGCAATTTGTCCCCGGCCCTGGTTGGATCATGTGGGTGGCAACCACTTGATGTGTCCCTTTCACATCGATGTTTCTCTCTCTCTCTCTCTCCCTCCCTCCCACTCTATCTGAACAAAAAATGGAAAAGTGTCTTCAAGTGAGTATTAAAAAAGAAAAAAGGTCAGAGGACCTAAATATACATTTCTCCCAAGATAACATAACGATGACCAATAGAGGTATGAAAAGATGCTCAACATGACTAATCATCAGGGAAATACTAATTAAAATCACAATAAGACATCACCTCACACCTGTTAGAATGGCTATCATCAGTAAATCAACAAATAACGAGTGCTGATAAAGATATGAAAAAAAGGGAACCCTTGTACACTGTTGGTGGGTCCGTACATGAGTGCAGCCATTAAGAAAAAGAGTATGGAGATGACTCAAAAAATTAAAAATAGTCTTGCCATACAATCCATCAATTCCACTTCTGGGTATTAGTCCAAAGAAAACAAAAACACTAATTTGAAAAGAAATATGCATTCCCCTATGTTCACTGCAGCATTACTAGTAATAGCCAAGATATGGAAACAAGCTAGATATCCATCAACAGATGAATGGATAAAGATGTGGTAATATATATATATATATACACACACACACACACACACACACACACACATATACATATATATCAGAATATTATTTACCAATAAAAGAGAATGAAATCTTGCCAATTGCAACAACATGGTTGGACCTAGAGGATATGGTGCTAAGTGAAATAAATCCGACAGAGAGAAATACCATACGATCTCACTTATATGTGGAATCTTAAAAAGTCTAAATAAATGAATAAACAAAACAAAACTTAAACAGATCCATAGATATACAGAACAAGCTGATGGTTGCCGAAGGAGAGAGAGTAGATGGATGGGAGTAAAACAAAATTTTAATTAAAATTTTTAATAAAGAAAAAAAATATATAAATAGCATTATAAATAAATAAAGTGAGAATTAGTAAACTGGAACCTATATCTGAAGAATTTATCCTGTATGCTGCCAAAAAGGGATGCAGATGATAGAAATTAATTTTTAAAATGATTAAAATATATGGAGACTCGATTAAAGAAAGCTAAATGTCCTGGCCGGTGTGGTTCGGTGGTTAGAGCATCAGCCCTCCAACCAAAGGGTTACAGGTTCCATTCCCGACCAAGGGCACGTACCTGCGTTGCAGGTTTGATCCCTGGCCCTGGTTGGAGTGTGTGCAGGAGGCAACCAATTAGTGTGCCTCTCTCACATCGATGTTTCTTTTGTTCTTTCTCTTCCCCTTCTTCTCTAAAATCAATAAAAATATATCCTTGGAAGAGGATTTAAAAAATAATATGTCATACATAAGTCCAAATTTATCAATAATAATAGTAATTATTAATGGTCTAATTTACCATATAAAACAAATGAGATTGTCAGATTGCATTAATAAACAAAATCCAGCAATAGACAGTTTTTAAAAGACACACCTGAAGCATCAGCACACAGAGAGTTGAAAATAAAGGAATGGGAGAAAAGAATACTAACCAAAAGAAAGTTGATGTGGTATGTCGGTTTCAGAATTTAGTCAAAAAGCACTGCCAGAGATAGTGATTATTTCATAATGATAAAATATCAAATTCACCAAGAATGTATGGCTTATTCTCCCACTGCTGGTGGAAGTAGAAATTGAAATAACCATATTGTATTTGCTTAGGAGTCACATACATTCAGCATTGTTTTAAAAGTCTAATACATATCCCATGGGTCAGCAAGTCCGCCCCTACATATATATTCAAAAGAAATTTTTAATCCTGTGTCCCAGGAGATTTGTATAAGAATATTTCTTAAGCTCTGATTAACAATAACAAAAACTGAAAACAGTCCAAATGGCTAATGACCAGAAAAGAACAAATAAATTTGTACACTAACATAATGGACCATTTGTAGAACTCTGAAAATGAATGGACAATAGCTATATTCAACAACATGGCTGAGTCTTAGCATAATACCGAGGAGAAAAAAGCAAATAGCAGAAGATAACACAGTAATATTATGTTTATAATTTTTTAAGAAGAAAAACTATCAATCATTCACACATACCTAGATAGATCTTAAAACTAAAATAAAAGGCAAAAAAAAATATTGGGTTGGATTTGCTCAGGACGGGAAAACACATAGGTCATTGTAAGTAGGGCCAGTGGGTTCCACCACCCCAAGTGGCACCATTCCCATAGAATCCAGTGCTGCCACAAAGTAGCCCTAGAAGTAAGCTGTTGGCAATAATGAAGTTCTGAGAACTTGTGGTGGGGTCATTGATAGTATTATTATTTTGTATTGTTAACATATTTAAAAATAAAGAGGGGCATGCATAGACCAAAGCTGAACATATGTCATAATTCAAGGGTTATAATTAAGCCATAATAGTAACTGGGGTCCAATCTAGAAACAAAAACAAAACAAACAGAACACACCAGTTGTTTGCACCAAATCACTGATTCCCTGAGTTAATCAAGCTCCATCTGCTAAGTCTACCTCTCTCACCTCATCACTCCTTCCAATCCCCTTCTTGCTCTGCTCTGTCACCCACCCTTCAGCAATTCAAATGAGCCCAGCTCTACCCTGCCTCAGGCCCTTTGCACACGCTGTTGTTCACTGCCTAGAGTATTATACCCTGGCTCTTGGCTTACCCATGCTCATCCCTGGGGTCTCAGCTTCATTGTTTCCTCTCAGGGAGATTGTTTCTGACACCCAGTGCTCTGCCAGAGCATTCTACTTTTCCCCTTCATTGTACATCACGCAATTGAAATCACGTCTACTTGTTTGTATGTTTTCCTTCTCTCCTGACTAGAGTGTAAACTCCTCAAGTGCAAGGACCATGTGTGTTTAAATGCACCACTGCAGCCCCATTGCCCAGCCCAGGGTCTAACGCAGGTAAATGAGCAGGAACAATGTTGAAAGAGTGAAGAGGATTTTGGAAAACCTGGAAAACAAAGCTATCATCTGCAATCCTGACACCATGTGTATTCCTCTTCCCTGGGAGCATCATTCATCTACTTCCCATGGTGTCTGCAGAACTTCCAGACAGTGTTACGTGATCATTTCGATAGCAAACGTTCTTGTTTTTTCCCTGAGTTCAGAGAACTTAGTACCTCAAAATAGTCCCCTTTCAGAGCACGTTGGATTTTGCTTTAAGACTTGTTCAAGATGGTCACTCCTGTTTCCATTTCAAAGTACATCAGGCTCCTATGTGTGAGTACAGAGTTGGTCCAGAACACCAGGAGCAAGAGAAAGTATGGATTGTCTTCCACTCTCCTTTAGGCAGCAGTGACTTACCGCGATGGCCTTGATGCACTCAAAGTAGGAGGTTCTCTTCACACAATCAACAAGAGGGCCAGCCGCGGAAAGGACTTTTCTCATACTGTCGCGGAACGTGGTGCACTTAGTGAACTCAGGAGTTGAGGTGGTGCACCATCGCACAGTGTTCTCAGGGACAGCCAGACACAGCCCTAGGGGAGAAAGGCCAGAGGAACTGTGCCAGTGGGAGAGACAGCAGCACCTCTGAAGGGATTTGAAGGCTACATCCCCTCTGTGCTGTCCTCTTCCCACTCCTGTCCGTGAACAAAGAAGGGTATAGGTGCCCCTGCATTCGGAGCCTGAGACAAGAGAAGGGAGGCAGCTCTTACCTCTGGTTTGTAAACACAGAGCTGATTGGAAAAATGAACTTTTGGTCAGCCCCTGACACTGCCAGGAGAGAATATGGAGGAAGAACTAACAACACAAGCCCTGATCAGGAAGAATTTGGGGCAGACCAGGAGGGCTGCACTCTGGGTTTCCCTGTGGCCGTAGGTAGCTGGAGCACAGCTGTCCTCTGCTTTTCCAGCCAGGGGAGCTCACTGTGACGCTCTCTGTGGCAGTACTGGGTCAGGGAGGGTCCACCACAGCACTCCTTGCCTTCGCTGACTTCCCCTTCCTGTGCCCTGCCCAGATTACCTCTCCCTCCATGTAATACACCCTGCTTCAGAAATGACTTAAAACAGCCTGAGACCTGACAGAACCAGGGCTGGACAGAAATAATAGTTGCTGAGCCAGGGAGGACCCTGCACACGCCTAAGGTTTTTGACTTTGCACCATTACCTTGCTTCCAGTCACCCAGCCAAGAGCCCTGCCCACCCTATTACATAGGATGGTGCCCCTACATTTATGTGCAGTATTTTTTTTTTACCAGTGATAACTCACCTGTGTCCAGAGCTCTGCCATTAGATACGTTATTTCATTTTGCTTTCACAGCAATTGTGTACTTATTGTGAAAAAGCAATTCCTACTGAACGAATGAGGAAAACAGCTCAGAGAGGTCAAGGGACAGCCTAGAGTCACCCAGCACTGAGTGGCAAGTGGATCCCATTCTAGGGCGGTTGTTTTCCCCCTATATTCCTCTACCTCTTTGATGTGTGGTAGGAACGGGAGGTGTTGTACAGTTCAGAGCAGGAAAGATCCTTCTGGTTAGACACTGGATAAGTCAAGCATACCTGACCTATGCCCTTTCCTCTTAAAACCCTCTTAAACCCTCTTAATAACCGCTGAGCCCTGTGAAAATTCCTTCTCTGTTGTGTGTCCTTCACTGTAAAGGGGATCAATAGCCTCTGGGCCAGGGGTCATGAACCTTTTCTGCAGTGAGCTAAGTAAACATTTTTGTGGGGGCCACACAATTCTGGCGATGACTTAACTCTGCCTTTGAAGCTTGAAAGCAGCCATGGACAACACTCACCTGACCGATCATGATTGTGCTCCCATAAAATTTTATTTATGGACACCAAAATTTGAATTTCATATAACTTACATGTGTCAAAACTATTCTTCTTTTGATCTTTCAACCATTCAAAGATGTAAAAATCATTCTGAGCTCATCCTGATGCTGTAAAACATCAGGCAGCAGGTGGGATTTGAAGGCTGCTCATAGTTTGTGAACCTCAGCCCTACACTAAGGGGTTTCTGCTGGGACCCAAGTTGGTCAGGTGCCTGGGTGCACCTTGGGCGGAGGGCACTTTGGGGCCAGCCAGGTGCTAGGCTGCTTTGGGCTCCTTACACCCAGGCAGTGCAGTGTCTGGCTACAGCGGACCCTCGGCAAGCATCGGGTCCCAATCCCGGAGGGCCAGCCCCCACCCCAGCTCGCAGTGCGCCACTCACCCAGGGTCCCCAGGCACAGCACGGTGCTGATGGCGGGCTTCATCCTCCACTGCTGGCTGATACACCGACCAGGCTTCTACCCTCCTCAGCCAGCTTTACCTGTCCTCCCACGGGCAGATCCGCCTCTTCTGAAGGGTTCACCCTTCCGGGCTGATCGCCATCGCCACACCCCCACCTTGCCCGGGAGCGCTCTCCAGCAGCCGGGCCCTGCGCGGGCCTGGAGGAGGGTGTTGTCGTCACCCACTCGCCGCCGCCGTGGCTTCCCCCTCTGCCCAGGGCCCAGAGCAGCAAAGCTGGAGATGCGAGGCTGGACCTCGGGGCGAGGGGTATGCACCCCGGAGGTACGACCTAAGCAACCCTGGAGCCCTCTGGACTAGAGGAGAGCGATCCGCCGGGTCCCATACTTCCCTGACCTCCGGAACTTCTAGCCAAGCAGCACTTGTGTTTTGAGCACAGACTCCTCGGGACTGTGGGGCAGGCCACAGGGTGAAAAATGTGGACCCTTCCCCAGGAAAGCATGTGCACACGTACACACAACGTTCTGAACATAAATGTCAGGGGTCCTCAGACTCCCCACAAAAGCGCCTCTGCTGCCCATTCTGGGTTCTTCTTGGAAGTCACCCCCCTCACACAAATGGCAAGCCCCTCCCCCCCAACTTTCTGCCGAAAGCCGAGATCAGGTGAAGCCCTGAACCCAGACAAGGCTGCTTCTACCAGCTCCTGAAGCCTGAAGCCTGCAACCCAGTCCTCCCCAAGTCTGTGAGCTCTGCCTGGGGGAAGTCTTCCCAATTCAAATGACGTTTACGAACTTTTTATCGAAGCACAATAAACTTCACATATGGTACCACACAACTTGAAGAATTGTCAGTATGTGAACACATCCATATACCAGCACCCACAGCATGAAACAGAACGTGAACAGAGCTGAGGCTGGCTCCCTGGTGCCTCTTTCCCATCACTTTACATCGCCTCCACAAACAGATCCATTGCCTGGACTTCCAACAACATCGACTAATTCTGTGGATGTTTTAACTTTATTGAGATAGAATCACACAATATATGTGTACCGTTTTGTGTCTGGCTTCTTACACTCAAGGTTATATTTGTAGCACTCTTATCTTTTGTGTTGATGATAGTCGTTTCTAGTTCGGGCTCTCATGAAGTGAGCGCTACTATGAACATTCCAGTACATGTCCTTCAGTGCATATAGGTATGCATTGCTGCAGGGTCTTTCCCCAGGACAGTAATTGTTTGGCCATCAAGTAGATGTATGTTCAACATAAATAGATACTATTTACATTACTATTGGCCTAACAAATTTCCAAAGTGGTTGAACCAATTAACACTCCCACCTTAACGTACCGGAGTTGGGTTTCGCTACTTTTTTGCTTAGATGCCCTCTCATGTAAAGGTTCAGTTCAAGTCTTTTGCCATATATATATTTTATCCTCACCTGAGGATATTTTTTCATTTATCTTCAGATAGATTGGGAGGGATAGTGGGAGGGAGAGAGAGAGAGAGAGAAACCGATGTGAGAGGGACACATCGACTGGTTGCCTCCCGCACGACCCGGACCAGGGCCAGGGACGAACCCAAGCAGGTGCCCTCACTGAAATCGAACCTGCACTCTTCCGCCGAGCCAAACCAGCCAGTCAATATTTATTTATATTTCACCACATACTTACTCTTTTCATTGCTCTTCACTACTTTCTCAACTTTTATGTTTCCAACTGGGGTCATTTCTATTCTGTCCAAAGATTTTTTTTCCTTAGGACAAACCTTCTGGTAAAAAGATTTCTCAGGGTTTTAAATGTTTTTAACTAACAGTTTTGTAGGATTCCCCCCCCCCCCCATGACTATAATAGTCTACTCTTTTAGTTATTTGATTCCATAACTTCAATAATGTCACTTTATTATTTGTCATAATTTTTGTTGAGAAGTAGCTGTTGCTCCTTTGAAAGTAATTTGTCTTTTCCCTCTGGCTGCTTTTAAAATCTTCTTCTTCTTTACCTCCTTGGTTTGACCATGGTGTGCCTCAGTGTGATTTTATCCTACCTTTGAATACATGAGTGGATATGTGGGCTGCTTTTCATCACTTTTGGAAAATTCTCAACCATTGTTTGTTTAAATATTCCTCCTACCTATTTCTGCTCTTTTATGTCTATGACTATAATTGTATGTGTAGTAATATTTCTAAAATAGACACATGTATCATGCTTTTTCCCCATATTTCCATTCTTTTTCTTTTTCTCACTGTGCTTCAGTTTGGATTTTTTTTTTTTTTTTAATTAACCTGTCTTCTGATTTACTTATCCTTTCTTCTGTGCATTTGTTGTGCTGTTAAATCCATTTATTGAAAAATTAACATTAATTATTGCCTTTTCTGTGCAAACTCACATTTTAGATTTTATTTTGGAGTAAATATTAACAAGGTTATTTCTGAGTTGCAATAATTCTCCTTTCATGTTTTTGTAATTCCTGTATTCCCTCATTCGGTCTTGCCTGCCGCAATCAGACAGAAAGCCCAAGGACACTTTTTCCTGCATCTAAGTAAACTTATTGCCTTTTCCACTTCTAGAATTTCCATTTACCTTCTTCAGAGATTTCAATTCTCCAATGACATTCTCCATCTTTTCCACTATTTTCACCATCTTTACCTCTCTTTCATCACATTTTACCCTATTTTCTTGGCCTATTAGTCATAGTTTTTAAAGGTCTTTGCCTTTCTGATGACTGCAATATCTGAATTATTGGTAGGTCTATTTACATTATGTGTTTTTCTATTCATTTTTGAACAGTTCTCTTGGCATGCCTTTTAATTTTGCTTGAACAAGTAATTGGACACTGAAAAGATAGAATGGGGACTGATCACTTTGATCCAATCAGGGGTGTGCTGCATCAAGGCTAAATTGCAGTTTTGCTAAGCTTCCATGCCTTCCTGATGAAAGTCTGTTGTGGTCTGCAGAATAACGACCCCCCCAAAGATGTCCATGTCCTAACCCCACAAGCTGTGAATATGTTATGTGGTAAGAACAGGTTAAGTTTGCAGATGGACATAAAGTTAACCAGGTGACTTTTATTGAAGATTATCTGAGTGGGCCCATGTAATCACTAGGGGCTTTTAAATGTGGAAGAGGGAAGCAGAAGAGTTAGTGTCTGAGTGATGCAATGTGAGAAAGACTCTGCCATTTCTGGCTATAAAGATGAAAGGGAGTGAGGCCATGAGCCAAAAAATGGGAGCAGCTCCAATGCTGGCAAAGGCAAGAAAATGGATTCTTCTGTCAAGCCTTCAGACAAGAGCATAGCCCTGATGACACCTTCAATTTTTCCCACTGAGATCCCTTTGAGACTCTGACCTACAGAACTGTTAGATAATAAACTGCATTGTTTTAAGGCACTAAGTTTGCGGTCATGGTTACAGCAGCCGTAGAAAACCAGTACACCTAATATATTAATTGGAATCTCCCTAAGGTATAGCATTTTTTTTTTTTTTTTTTTTTTGCCTCTCGTTCTATGGAGCTTCAAATTGTGCCAAATACCTTAAGGGGAAAACTGGGCATTTCTCAGGCTTCGTTCTCTGCACCTCCCTTCTGATTGCAGTCTTGCCTCTCCTTCTGTTTTTTTCCAGCCCTGAGGCTGCCATAAGCTCTGCTAGCAGTGGCCCTCTGCTTAGGCAAAGCCAGAGAGCTCTTGCCTTGTGCCCAGAAGTGACAAATTCCCCCAGGAAAATGTGGTTGCAAAATGTCATCTCACCTTCTCTTTTCCCAAAACGTGGCACCTTTAGTCTCTAATGATCTTAGGTAAATGTTTTCGAGTGCTGTATCCACATCTTCTAGATGTACTCAACAAGAACACAACTCCCACACACACTACATCGTCATGACGGAAGCACAAGTGAGGGCTATGTTAGCTACTAATTTTTCATCTTTGTTTTTTTAAGACTCTAGTATATTATTTCTGAGAATGGATTTTATAGGGTATTGTACTCATTCACAACTGCTTTAGCTCTCACTTCATTTATTCATAACTTGGAAAGAAAAGAGGTGCTATGAGGACAAACATCACATTTTTCTTGTTCAAAATGCTAATCCTAGGTTGCAAAATAGGGTCTGGTATAACATAGGGTTCGAAAAATATCAAATAAATGAATAAAGGCACATAAGTGATTGTCTCAAAAGAGGGTTGAGCAATCTTCTCTGCAGATCTACGGACAATAGGGTCAAGAGGTGAACATGCCTCCTAAGGTTAATCATCTATCTAAAGTTAACAGCACAAATCCAAAAGGGCCAAGGTGCCCTCTGACTTCAGGTTGGAGCAAACTCTGGAAACTTCCTACAGATAGGGACAAAATAATATTGCAAAGGAAGGAAATCCAAAGTGCTAAAGCCATCTGTGTTGCATTGCCATAACCTATCCCAATAGCAGAGCAGAAAGTTAGAAGATTGTGTTGCAGGAAGATTTAAAGACATCATGGCAAGAATGGCCTTTGGAAAATTAGGAATTTATAAATGTATCATTAACTGTGTACCAGACACTGAGCTAAGTGCTTTTCAAGTATTAATTTATAGTAACCCCATAAATAGATGCTACTATCGTAGGGAAGAAAGTGAAACACACAGGTTAAATAACTTGCTCAAGGTCAAACAACTAGTATATGTCAGAATCAAGATTCAAACTAGGCAGCCTGCTTCCACGGTCCATGTTCTTCCCCAAATTTGTCTCTGGAGCAGTTTTCCCCTTCCCCATTTTCAGGGACTTTGTGGAAATAGACACCTTTTATTTATTTATTTATTTTATGAATTTTTATTTATTTTTTTGTTACAGTATTTTACCTTTTTACCCCATTGGCACCCCCCACCCCACCCCACCTCCTCCCTGTCCCCAGCTTAGTTGTCCATGTCCATTGGTCATGCATACATGCATATAAGTTCCATGGTTTATCTCTTCCCACCCCCCCCACCCCCTCTTCTGAGGGATGTCAGTCTGTGCCCTACTTCCATGTTTCTGGGTCTACTGTATTCCTCAGACTGTTATGTTCATTATATTCCGT